ATCTTTCCACCGTTTCAAAAATTACAGTGCGTCACGCGAGTCGGCGTGACTGCTCGCTTTCGCTCTCTGCGTAGGAAGCTACAGACACTGTTTTTGAAGTGATTTAACATTATATTTTGACCCAGTGGGTTGCAAAAATCTGCATATAATTAGGAAAGTGAGGACTGTGTTTATAACATGATCTAACATAATATTTGACGTTGCCCAGGGCCCCTTAGATGTCATGTCATGTGCCCCTGGGCAAGTGACCAGTTGCCCTAATGGTTAATCCGGACATGGTTGGCTGTCGTCCAGTGCCAAACTAACTCAAAATCTCTTCCCACTTCAAATCCTCCTCTTTTCTTCCCAGCTGCAGTCTGATGGTGCTGCAGTTGAGATAAGGAAGTGAGAAATAAACATCAGGCCCTGTAAGAAGAGACACATTTGGCAGTAACACACAAACACTTTATAAAGTTGTTGGAAATGTAAACAGATGATAAGGACATGTCAGTCCTATCAAGGCAGGGGCAGACTCTCGCCCCCGCAATGCCAAAAGCCGAGGGAGTCAACCACAAACCTCAGGAAAGATCTTTGTAATCTTTTGGAGCTGCGCTCCGTTACGGCCAGTCTCCAGTGAAATTGCACACTTGCAATGGGTGCTGATTTGGAGGGTAAAGTTAGAAGATTTTGCAATAGCCTGATCATGAATGAACAAAGAGTCTCTATGGCAGAACACCTGGTAGTACTCAAAATAAGAGATGCATGAGCAATAAGAGGCGTCAGAAGAAACATCTGAAACCCACACTCATTTTTGAGTCTGTCCAGGGTAGAGTTTTAGAGACGGTCAGGTAAACAGACACACACTGATACGCACAGTGGAAAGGGAAGAGCAATCAGGGTGGGAGTGAGCACTGTTATGGCAACTGTGGGTATATTTGATTGTTTGGATAGTGATGACCGTAAAAAAGACAGTGTGGGAAACACCTGTGATTAAAGACTTCTACAAACAAAAGAGTTTGAGCGAACCCCGTGGCCCCGTCGGCACAACAATGGCCATAACAAAGCAGTCACATATGCTGTTGGGGTGTAACGATATTCGAAACGAACCGAAAAAACGTGATACACCACCCACGATACTTATTGCGATGCTTTCAATGGGCCTCATGTCTTATGTTTACAACGAATATTGCGCATTGTAGACTAACCACCATTGACACTCTATAATAGCAAGCTCCATGTTTTGTTACTTTCGATAATAAGCAAGATGTAGTCTTTGAAATTATGTCTTTTTGATCACAAAATTCAAACAATAAATGCCGTTTTGGTGCTCTTAGATGTGGCGTGACAGATCACTGTACTAGCTCCTCATTTAAAGCTGTAACGCGGATCAGTAAATGCGAATTACGCGATTATCTCTTCCTCAGTTACAGAATAAATATGAATGGACACCCGAAGGTTTGTTGAAAGATAGTCTACAGTATACTTACTGAAAGGCATCATAACTTGTGTAATCGCGCAATCAGTGTTTCAACAGCGGAAATACATCAATAAAGTGCTTAATTTAAAAATTTTTTACCTCAGGCAAGTCATTCAGTGTCCACAGCTTGTTGGTTCGCTAACTCTTTCACTAAATAAATTAGCCGATACATTGTATTTTACTTAACCTGTTAATGATATCTTGATTTAATGTATGTTTAAAATATCGGTCATGAAAATAACAGCAACTGTGTAAATTATTATATTTCAGTCACAAATTAGACTAAAAACAAATAAAATATTAATGCAAAAACTGTCTTATGTGCAGTACATGTTTCCATACAATTTGTTATTTGAGTGTTGATTATTAATATATGAAGAGTTCAGATGCAAAAGCCTCTAAGTGCCATTTGAAATTTTCTTCCAGAATGATAATTTTTATCAAGCTTGTATATTTAAGTTCAGTGATTTCACTTAAATGGGAATGATAATTACCTATTAATTGTTATTTAAGTGAAATTACTGAACATTAAATATACAAGTTTGATAAAAATCATCATTAAAGAAGAAAATTTCAAATGGCATTTAGAGGCTTTTGCATCTGAACTCTTCATATCTAAAAATAAATATCAACTGAATTTAGGCTAAAGCAAATTCCAAATTCCAACTGAATTTAGGCTAAAAAAAAAAAATCTGAGACGGCAAAATCGCAAGATATACCAAACTGTCAGGTTTGTGTATCGTTACACCCCTAATATGCTGTAAACTCATTGACTGTTTTCAACCTAATTTGCTAAGTATGTATTAATGGAACCATGTAGATTATTTACTTATTAAAACATGGGGGTCAGATAAAATGTAGTCATCCAAGGTCCTTTGAAAAGGAAACGGGGTAAAGAGGGGCTGAGGGACCGAGGGACCGGAAAAACACAGGAGGTGAAAGCAAAGACAGGAAGAATAGGACTGGAGAGAGTCTCTATAGAACAAGAAAGTTGCTAGAGGCTATGTTTTCAGTGATTTGAAAGAAATTATATTATTGTGATATTAAGTCCAAACTGACAAGACCTCTTTTCTTTTTTTCTAATTTAATTTGATGTTTTTAGACGTTTATAGCCTTGAATTTCTTATGCTTATGCTCTGTGTCTAATGCAATTAAGAATTCCACGCCCGTCTATGCTACATTTGTAGTACAAAAAATATTACCTTGAAATTTCCATGAAATCAGACATGTACAGCCTACTTTATCTAGCAGTACATGCTCATGTGTAACGTTTTTTTTTTTCACTCTTACCATGAATTTTAAATAAATACCAGCCAGAAGTTTGACCACACTTCAAAACAGAAATAATAAAGTCATCCACATTATACAATAATGCAAATAGAAGTATAGGAAATATGCAGTGACCAAATAGTGGTTATCAAAACTGGTATATTCTGATCTAAAAAATGTTTAAAAAAATCCAACAGTTTTGTATGAAATTGATACATAGACTAAATTTAAGATTTTCATTAAAAAATCTTCATTAAAAAAAGCATCCACACATCTGTCCAAACTTTTGACTGGCACTGTAATTTTGTCTGATTGATTTTATCTTGCCTAAAAATGGAACAATAATTCATTTCTTGTGATGCTTTCAGATACAATATAAGGTTTAGAAAGCTCAGCAAACATCAGCACATAGTGTGGGGTATATAGGTTAGCTCCTATCTAGCTATCATAATATTTTCTTTAGTGAAATGTGGGCATACCCGCATAAACAGTGTGGAGTTGTGGTTTGAAATGAAGAGAAAGAAACAAAAGATTCCAATGGCGGTGATGTTGTGGGTCGGCGGTATGATGGAGTGCTGCCAGTAGCTAAAAGTGATCTGTGGGGGGTTCAAATGAGAAACAAAAGAGTTTAAAGTTTGGTGACAAAAGAGAAAGAGAGTGCTGGAGAGATAAGTGTGCAGCAGTCCTGTTTATGCGTGTGTGCATGTGACTGGGCTGCTGACCAGATTGGTTGAGAGTGTTTGAGTGGAATGACTGGCATCCTAGATATTTTCCAGAGGTCTGCATTACAAGAGTCAAACACTCTCTGAGAGAACGAGTAAAGAGAAGAGAGTTGACCTCTTTCTGTTGTTGTTGTTGTATGGATATGTATAGCTACGTCCTACTTTCATGTGAATATGGCATCTTTGTTTGGATGTCTGACAAACTAAATTCCCTCTCTTTCTGTTGTGAATTATTAATCATAGCGCAAACATGTAGATATATTATTGTTTCATGAAATAATGAACGGCTTTCCCTTGGATTTTGCCACATGAGTTGTGGAAGAGCTGCTACAGATGCAGATGAATGGAGTTATTTTTGTGCTTGTGGGTGAAAAGTGCCACATGTGATGAATGATCAGGATTAAAAACGGGAAATGGCTCCAAGTGTACTTACCGTGGGTAAAGAGGAGGAGGCCTAGATGATAGATTCAGGATAATGTTAGACAGGATATAGAAAGACAAAAGGGGACCAAACACTTCGTTGCGCAGACGCATAAGCTTTCACAGTCCCGTATACTGTTGACGAGAGGGTGGAGCAGGTTGAAGCTGTGGCTTATTGTTTTGAGGCCGACAGACATCCTGTTTAAAGCAGGAATGAAGTCCCCAACTGCAAACAAACTACATACACTCATATGCAAAGCACTTAAATATACACAGGCAAATGATGGTGGATTTTATTTAATTGCAATGCTCATTTTTCCTTAGATTTACAGCATGTAACACTCAAAAGTTAATATTTAAAAGTACTCATAATTTAATAACTTTTATCTTTAAAATTAATCACACTGTGCATTTATATGCTTTCCGAGTATCCCTACTTTTCTACTATAATAGTAGGTGGAAAACAGTAAGATGTTTGAATTCGTAGTAGTCATAAAACAGTAGGCAATAAAACACCCAGATGACCTACAACTTCTGGTGAGTTTCTGGAGTGGGCATCCAATGGACACTTTTCTATATTTTCTACCATAAGGCTACCAGAGAGGAGTTGTGGAGTTATACTGTAGGTCACACAACAAAGCTAGCTTAGCGGATGTAGTATGTCTGAATTTCAATCATACTTTTTTATTGGTAGCAAAGTTCTACTTACTCACTCCAAATAGATTTAGTAAGGACATTTTCCTGTTGAATATTGTGATGAGTCACATTACAAAACTAAAATTGGTTTCATGATGATGCCAAACTTCTCTTAGGTAACTGCTGGTTATGGTGTTGATTCAGGGTATTTGGCAACTTGCTTGTGGGGAACCACTGTGTTGGATATTCTGTCAGAGCTGAAGTGATAGTCTGTTGGAGAAATAGAGCTGTACAATGTTGCTGCCAAGGCTCTGGATTTAATTTCATTCAATGTGTGGGGGCTAAAAACTGCTTCCCCATTTATAAATGGCCATGCCACCATTATCATGTTGTTGTGTTTGTACAGCCTTGACCTGATTAGACACATTCAATATAACAAGAGGGTTGGTTATGCACTACTCAAGTCACTTGTTCTCTCTCTATCACTCAAACTTTAGGCAGTTGAAAGGGAGCAGTTTGACAGCATTCAGCCTAAACTGCAGCATGTCAATGCAGTGGGTCAAGGTCTTATCCAGAGTGCAGCCAAACACACCGACACTCAGGCACTGGAACATGACTTGGAGACCACCAACCTGCGCTGGAACTCCCTCAACAAGAGGGTAAGCTTGGATCTATTTTTAGCCTGCTTTCTTAATGGATTGAGAGAAAGTCTTTTTGAATTTTTTTATGATTTTATTCACAGGTTGCTGAAAGAATCGCACAGCTGCAGGAGGCCCTGTTGCACTGTGGGAAGTTCCAAGATGCTCTAGAGCCACTCTTGAGCTGGCTGAGTGACACAGAGGAGCTCATAGTCAATCAGAAACCTCCATCCGCTGAGTACCGTGTGGTCAAGGCACAAATTCAGGAGCAGAAGGTTACATTTAAATCAATTTTGAATTGAATTAATTTTCAATACATTTTAAAGATGGTTTGTTTTAAAATTAATTGATACCTACATTTAAAACTTTTTTTCATTTATATATTCATTTTTCAGTCAAGTTTAAAGACTGTTAGACTAATCTATCCTTCTACTTAATATAAAATAGGTAAATATAGGTCACTAACCTGTATTCCATATTTTTATATGCAAGCTGCTGCAACGGTTGCTGGATGACCGCCGTGGGACGGTAGAGATGATCAGGGCAGAAGGAGAGCGTATCGCTGCTACGGCCGAGACGCAAGACAGAGACAAAATCCAGAAACAACTTAAGAGCCTAGGAGAGAGATGGACAAACCTGCTGGAAAAGGCCAGCGCCAGGTAAACTCCATTATCAGACACCCAGACACAACCATAAAACCTCTTAATCAAATCTCTTACTCAGAACTCAATCACTTGGTTGCTTTACAAGGCCATAAAATAGAGTAGAATAAAAATATAACACGGATTTCCTCCTAACCTGACGTCCTCAGGCAACGGCAGCTAGAGGAGCTGCAGGTGTTGGCGCTGCAGTTCCACGAGGCCGTGGAGCCCCTCGGGGAATGGTTGAGCGCAACAGAGAGACGTTTGAGCTCCGCTGAGCCAATGGGAACCCAGACCTCCAAAATCACACAGCAGATTGTACGGCACAAGGTAGAGTATATGCAACACCTGGGAGAGATGTGTCCTGGAACTGACTAGAAATGCAGAGGAGAGAACAGATTGTCGGTCTCCTGTGGTTTTAAATGGACAAGTAGAAATGCAGTTATCTAAGAAGGCACGGATGGTCGTGATCCTGCCCACATCCTTTCCGTTTTTCAGTTTAATTTCATCATTTTTTTTATGGTTGTGTTCCCATCTCACCTTATTTTTTGCTTGCATCAGTTAATTATGATTTATCCTTGTTTTGCGTTGTCATGAATGTTTATGTTTGTCTTGTCTTTTTTTTTTCCTCCTTCGACTCATCCCATCCCATCACGTCTCTTTAATCTGGGATATAATCCCAGGCTCTCCATGAGGAGGTGTCCTCTCGGGAGAATGATGTAGACCATCTTGAGATGCTCAGCCAATCACTGCTCCCGCTCAGCTGTGTGGCTGATCGAAATTGGCTGGGCGATCGTGTGGCGGCAGTGCGCAATGGGCACACAGAGCTGCGTGATTGGTGCGATCGGAGAGAGGCCATGCTGGAGCAGGCCCTGGCCAATGCACAGCTATTTGGAGAGGAAGAGGTGGAAGTCCTTAACTGGCTAGCTGAGGTGGCCCAGAGACTGGCTGAAGTTTCAGTACAGAGTTATCAGCCGGAGCTACTAGAGCAGCAACACAAACACACACTGGTACGGTTTTGCAGGGTGTTGCAGTCCAGGACCAACAATGCAGTAAAAGTTCACTTTAGAGAAGATGAATACTGCCAAGCGGCCCTCATCCGAAAAAATTGCTGTCACTCACTGAAGAAAGAGTTACACTAGGGCTGTCAGCCAAATAAATGACATAAAATGCTGGTTAATTTTTCTAATTAATTACATGTACCAATAATTGCTGAGAAAAGCATCCAAATTAAAATAATATATTGATTACATTCTGATCTTTAATTTACTTTTCCTGAGTTAATGTTTATATTGCTGGTCCCCTACAGGCTCTTAATGAAGAGATTATCAGCAGGAAGAAGACTGTGGACCAGGCAATTAAGAATGGACAAGCTCTGCTTAAACAAACCACTGGTACTTTACCATCCAGTCTTTGTTCATTGGTCTATTACCAAATTCCTCCGTTGATTTGTAATCATGTTTGATCTATGTGGCAGGTGAGGAGGTCCTGTTGATCCAGGAGAAGTTAGATGGTATCAAAAGCCGCTACGCAGAGATGACAGCGGGCAGCAGCAAGGCCCTTCGTATTCTGGAACAGGCCCTTCATTTGGCCACACGATTTGCTAGCTCACACGATGACATCAACCAATGGTTGGATAGCGTGGAGGCGGAGCTTAACAACGTTGAGGCAGATACAACACCAGCCTATCAGGACAGACAGAGGGTGAGGATGTCTACTTTTTTTATCAGTAGTTCATGAATTACTTTTATCTTTTCTTTAGATCGTAAGCAGCTATTTTTGTTTTAGCTAAGCATGTCTTCAGTCCATTCATTATTTTATGTTGTGTGTATTTTTGCCTCAGGAGCTGAAGTGCGTGTCTGCTGAGAAAAGGCTAGTTCTGGACACTGTGAATGAGGTAGGCAGTGCTTTACTGGATCTGGTGCCCTGGCGTGCACGGGAAGGCCTTGACCGCCTGGTCGCCGATGCCAATCAGCGCTACCGCCAAGCAGACGAGACCATCACACAGAGAGTGCAGTTAGTGCAGGCTGCCATCCAAAGGTCACAGCAGGTACTGCAACATATACTGTACATTTAAATGTCTGTGTATTTCATTAAAGGATTAGTTCACTTTTAAATGAAAATTACCCCATTATTTACTCTCATTTTTTTTTGAGCTTTATACTGATGGTTGCAATTCACTGCCATTATCAAGCTCAGAAGCGTCACGGTGTTAATTAATATAACTCTGATTGTATTCATCTGACAGAAGAAAGTCATACACAACTAGGATGGATTGAGGGTGAACTATTCCTTTAACACTGAACCAACTTAAACAACAAAATATGAATTATAATAAGTTTTATAATAAAATGTATAATTAATATATATATACATACATAAACTATTACTTAAGGATTATTCGTATTATTCTTTGCAAACATTGGTATTTTCTTTCAGAAAGTAGTTTTATCTCATTTTGTATAATATTCACTTTATTTGCTTATTTTTTTCATTCTATTTTAAAATGTTATTGTTATTGTTTCAGTATGAAGAGGCAGTCGATGCGGAGCTGACCTGGGTTGGAGAGACAGAGAGGAAGTTAGCATCTCTGGGGCCTCTGAGTCTGGAGCCCGATGTGACTGTGACACAGCTGCAGGTGCAGAGAGCCTTTAACATTGACATCATCCGTCACAAAGACACCGTGGACCAACTCCTTAAGACACGAGAGGACATCCTAGAGAGCTGCAGTGAACAGCAGAGAGAGGCTCTGAAGGTTAGAGACAAAATAAAGATAAAAAGAGAGGGAGGGGAGGGGGCAGAGTAATCCATGTACTGTAATTATTCTTCAGCGAAAGGTTAGATTAGGAAAATTGAATTGCTGTGACTCATGTGTTTTCCGGCGGAGATTTGATTTGTCGAGTCATGTTTGGGAAAAACAACAGTGCAAACTTGTTTTTCAGTCTCTCAAAAGACTAATTTGGTTGACCCTCTAAAACCTCTTTCCTTTTCCTCCTGTAGATGAAGACGGACTCTTTAAGTGCTCGTTATGAAGCAGTAAATCAGAGTCATGCTGAGCGCTTCTCAGCTCTGGAGCAGGCTCAGGTGCTGGTGGCTCGTTTCTGGGAGACACATGAGGAACTTGAACCCTGGCTGGGCGAGACCGAGACTCTGATTGCCCAGCTACCCCTTCCCGCCATCGACACAGAGGCACTCAGACAACAGCAAGAACAGATGAGGGTAACTGGGCTTCTTGCAGATGAAGGACTTGAGTCTCTTTTGCGGTTATAGAAATGGGTCAAGATGCTCAAAACTGACACATGACATGTTTCATACGTTTTTCTTTCTAGCTTCTGAGAGAATCCATCTCTGAGCACAAACCACACATAGACAAACTGCTAAAGATCGGCCCACAGCTGGCAGAATTGAGTGCCCAGGAAGGAGCAACAGTGAGACAACGTTTTAATGAAGCAGAGCGACGTTACATCAAAATCAAAGAAGACGTCAAAAGTAGAGCCACAGCACTGGATGAAGCAGTGTCACAATCTGTCCAGGTATTTGCTCCAAAATGCTAGCATGCTTATTTTGGACTGCTGCCCAGCTTGTGATCTATTTAAGAGCTCACAGTTCAGCATTATATAGCACAGTACCAACAAATTTTGTCATCATCATGTTTTCTATTACTTTTAGTTCATTTAAGCTATTTTAAATGACAATTCACTTTTAATTAACCATTGTTTCGCTCTAAGTCATTTTTTTTTTGTAAATAACATCGATTCTTCCTGCTGGCCTGTTGCATGCTGTTGAATTAACGCATTGTACTGTTTCTCCACCTCCATCCCTTCAAACTCCACCTGTCCAAACCCTGTGCCCCGTATCCCATCACCCTCTCCTTTCCATTCCTGTATCCCTTAAACTTCCCCCATTCCTGCTTGCAAATCTCCCCTTGCCTATTCCCTCCACCTCTCCCTCCCATGTCCGTTTGGTCCATCCGTCCGCCCATCACTCATGTTTGTGGATGTGCTGTGTGTGTCCATCCCTCCATCATCACTGCTCTCTGCATCACCCTCAGCTGGTAGAGGTAAGAACACCATCACCTGCTGATTTAAACTCTGATATAACATGTGTATTGGATTGAGAATCAGGAATTTTCAATAATTGTTAAAATATCAAAAAACTTTATTTCTTTCTGATGAAACAGGTTTGTGATATGCACTAGTTTTAGTTTACATCACTTGACCTAAAGGCAGTGTCTTGTTGGTATATGACAAGAACAAAACAAATGGGCAAATATTAAATATACATATTGATTCCTTATTTCTTATTCTAAATATTCTTATTCTACTGTATATTTTGCCTTTAGGATAATAGATTTTTGACACCTCCTTCCAGTCCCTACCCCCATGCTCAATCTTAAGAAGAAAAAAAAAATTATCTTTTTTTTTCACTTTAAAGCTACACTGTGTAACTATTAGTTCTTTCAAAAATATATGTGCTCATTAATGTATATTTACTTCGTTCAAGTAATAAAGTATTCTCGTGAGTGTATAAAATGCCATTTAAAATACATACGGGTAAGGGGTTCTAATGCCTGTCGCTCCATCTTGAAAGTACATTAGCCAAAGAGGGACATACCTATTAATTTAAGCTTCGCCTTTTGCGTTTACATTTGAGTTAACACACATGGACGAGGTCGAACTGGAAGGCATGTTAATCTTGGACTACATTGGCCACCGTAGGAGTTAAAACGAAATCGGAACTGAGAGGAACAGAAACTAATATTCACTGGATGATCATATACCTTTTCACCTCTAGATGGGGGTAAAAATCATACAGTGTAGCTTTAAGAACAGCAGCATACACTTTTCAGTACTTGTATTTCTTATTTAGCTTCAGCTTTTTTTGCATGTGGCCGGGATAATTTTCCCCTCCTCCAAATGTCTGGTCCTTCTCCAGTTACTTTTGTGTGCTGTATTTGTTTTGATTGTCATCTTCTTTCTCTCCATTCAGTTCCATGATAAAATGGACCCTCTGTTGGAGACTCTGGAAGGGGCGGTCCAGCGCTTGCGGCTGCCCCCTCCAGTGGCCGCTGAGGTGGAAAAGATCCGGGAACAACTGACAGAGCACCGGGCAACAGGACTAGAGCTAGACAAACTCTTGCCATCTTTCAGCGCCCTGTGTACCCGAGGAGAAGAGCTCATCAGTCGAGCCCCACACGATGATCCTGCCGCACAGGGTAAAGATCTTTCATCTGAAATGATGCTATATGGCTGTATGAAATACTCCATTCTATGTTGAAAGGGATATAGTTAGTTTATAGTTTATAGTAGGATATAGTTCTATGTTTACTGAATATAGTTAGTTTCATCAGCAGAAGTCAGCTTCAAGACTCTCACAGAGGTTTGTAGGCCGCCCCGCCTACAGTTACAAAGATCTCAGCAGTTATACCATTTCCAAGGTCTAAGCTACGTCATTGCTTACAGGTTGAATGATTCTCATTGGCTAAGAAATAGATAAACAGTAATTTTCCACACATATACAGATAGACGGAAGCATATCTCCATCGATGTGCAAAACAACAATTCAGTCAACTCCAATAATGGCAGTGGTTCCTTAACATGCAAACAAGAAGACTAACAAACACACCGACACTCTGCTTTTCCAAGGTTGGATTTGGCCAGGCTCTAAATATAAACAGGAGAATCGTCTCAAAACATCAAGATAATGCCTTTTTTCTCTCAAGGATAGCTAAACTTTAGTCTAACTGGAAAGTAAGGCTTTAACAAAGAAATGGTCCTCAAACACAAAACAAAGCCCCTATTTCATTTTTGGAAGCCGGGCTAAATGAGCAAGCACTGTTACTGCATTCAGATATCAAATACAGACGTTAAAGAGTACATGAGAAGAACATTTCAGTAATCACGCTGGTAACTTCTATAACAAAGTAAAATCTCACAAGCCTAGAGAACTCATTCAACTCATTTGATATTTAGAAGGAAAAACAATGACTAATACCTTGATTATAATTACTCTTCATTACATGTACATTGAAGCAGCAGTGGATTCCAATCCACCCCCTTCGATGTGTTTTGATAAATCTGCGTTCTGTTCCCATCCTCAGCGGTGCGTTCACGACTCTTGCGTCTGCGCTCTCTGTGGGATGAAATCAGGCAGAGGGCGGAGGAAAGAGAAGGTAAACTTCAGGATGTTTTAGATCTCGCCGGAAAGTTCTGGGCTGACATGGGCGCTCTTCTGAGCACGCTCCGTGACTCTCAGGACATCGTGAAAGACCTGGAGGACCCGGGGGTGGATCCCTCACTCATAAAACAACAAATAGAGGCAGCAGAGGTCAGTCCAACAAAAGAGATGGATGTCTTTTTCTTAGGTTAAAATCAGTTTTCGCTAAGGATGTACCAAAAAAAATTCAAAAACGACAAGGTCACTGTGAACAAGTGATTGATGCCAAGCGACATCCTTACTTATAACCCAAAATGTGTCTAATTATGTGTCCAGTTTTATAAAACAGTCCTTGAGTAGATGTAACTACATAATGTTGTGTTAAGACAAAGATGATGTTTTTATCTCACACTCAGGCCATTAAGGCAGAGACAGATGGGCTGAGGGAAGAGCTGGAGATTGTACAAACTCTTGGAGCTGACCTTATCTTTGCCTGTGGAGAGACGGAGAAACCAGAGGTCAAGAAAACCATTGATGAGGTGAGAGGGTTGAAGGATAATAAGACATGTGGGGAATGCCCCTCTTCACTCAAATTTAAACATAATATCTCCATGTTGATTTGACACACAGATGAATGCCGCCTGGGAAGGTTTGAACCGCACGTGGAGAGAGAGAATGGAGAGACTTGAAGAGGCCATGACTGACTCTGTGCAGTACCAGGATGCTCTTCAGGTCATTATTTCTCTGTTGGAACAGCAGAATCTGCCCTGATTGGCCAAGCCAACTTTGTGTTCACATTCATCACTTTGTCTCTTCAGGGCATGTTTGACTACTTGGACAATGCTGTCATCAAATTGTGTGACATGCCAGCTGTGGGGACAGACCTCAGCACTGTCAAACAACAGATAGAGGAGCTCAAGGTTTGAATCAGGCCTTATCTACTCTTATCTCTGAAATTGCTTTGAGAAAAGTATTGATCCTTTTTCTTTGTACATGACACAGCAATATAAAGTTGAGGTGTACCAGCAGCAGATTGACATGGAGAAGCTTAGTCACCAAGGAGAGCTGCTGGTCAGGAAAGTGAACGACCAAACAGACCGAGACATGATTCAAGAGCCTCTTACTGAGCTACGCCACCTGTGGGACAACCTGGTGGACAAAATCACAATCAGACAGGTGAGGAAAGAGAGACAGTTTTCTTATCTCTGACAACTTTTTGCATTTACTAACACATTACATAAATAGATTATTCAGACTCGGATGAGACATTATAAAATGCAGATAAATGCACACCAGCCTATTTAAAACAGCCTACAGTTAAGCTAATGAATTATTATTTCATTCTTAAATTGTTGTTATTATTAATAATACAATATTTCACTTGGAAGTCCGTCTAACTCGGTCCAATGGCGTTTTCCGATAGAACAGGTGAAGTAATCAGTAATTTGATTACAATTAAGCTTTTATTTCACAACATAGAATGCCAATTGGTTTAACCTAGGGGTGGTGATGGCGCAGTGGATAAGACACATGGCTTTGGTGTGAGAGACCCAGGTTCGAATTCACTGTGAGACACCAATGTGTCCCTGAGCAAGACACTTAAATCCTAGTTGCTCCAGAGGCGTGCGACCTCTGACATATATAGCAATTGTAAGTCGCTTTGGATAAAAGCGTCAGCTAAATGTAAATGGTCAATGGTCATTTATATAATAGTTTAGCAGCACATTTGATTATTCTTTTCAACTCTTTAACAGTTCATATTAGGAAGCTATGTCGCTTTGACACACCCAAAATATAGGTTGGTCAAGCAGCATTTTTGCTGTCCTAAACGGCACCAAAACTTCTCTCACATTGAAACGTTTGCTAACAATGGGAATTTGCGTTCAAAGTTTACTCCTTTTGGGCGCAGAATGCCATTAGCCTGGAAGACACACCCTCATCTGTGTGCAAGTTATCTCTAAACTCTTAAGAACTTTATTACCTTTTGGTTTCCTTCTTTGGGAATTAGACATTTGTACCAGTCACACTGAGACATTTCAAATGATAGCAAACATGTATACTACTGTATAATTATTATTATCATTAAACCATATAGATTTTTGGTGACTATCTGGCGGTCTCAGCGTGAGAGAGAGAACATTGGGGAGGTGATTGACTCAGGATGCTAGTTTCTCACGAGAGACTCAAATGTTTATTTCGTGAAAAGTCATTTGTCTTCTCAGGGAGTGGTCATTCCTCAACCAGACTGTCCGGCATTTTCTAATTTCTCAATTCTTACAAACTTATTGAATATTGGGTCTTGGAATTGTAAAATAGAGAATGAGAATAATACTACTAAATTGATTTAAATTCAATCAAAAATCATTGTTGTGTAGTTACTGCATTTTAGAGGGAAGACATGAAAGGCTTACTCTTAATTGTTTTGATTCTGTCTTCTCTCTACCAGCACAAACTGGAGGGTGCGCTCTTGGCTCTAGGTCAGTTCCAGCATGCTCTCTCTGAGCTGCAGTCTTGGCTCAGTCACACTCACGCCACACTGGACACCCAGCGACCCATCAGCTCTGACCCCAAGGCCATCGAAATTGAGCTGGCTAAGCATCATGTACGTCACATTTGGCATCATATTTTATGTTCTCTACTTTTGTTATTTCCGCAAATTCCTTTAATCAAGCTGCCTTTGTAGGTTTTAAGAAACGATGTGCTGTCCCATCGTGCCACTGTGGAGACAGTGAACAGAGCGGGCTCTGAGCTGCTGGAGTCCAGTCCTGGAGACGAAATCAACCACCTGAGAGACCAGCTGGATGAGCTCAACCGTAGCTGGAAGAACCTTCTGCTGAAGACTGATGAGAGGCAGAAGCTTTTGGAAGCTGCCCTGCAACAGGTGCTCTAGATATTACTACATCATTTGTATAAGAGATCTTTTTGAATGAATGCACCAAAAAAAAAGTACATCTGCATACGTTTGTAGTTTGAAATAAAAAAATTTTCAGTGGATTAAGTCGATTCAATAAAATGGATGCAGTTTGGAGGGTTGCTGTGCATGGAGAATGGTTCTCTTTAATGTTGTAGTACAGGTGTCGGATCAATTAGCTCATTGTCTTTCCCCTGCATGGTTTCTGTGTCAGGCGGAGGGTTTCCATGGAGAGTTGGAGGAGTTTCTGCAGTGGCTCAGACGCACAGAGAGTCAGCTGTCCGCTGCCAAACCCACAGGTGGCCTGCCTGAGACTGCCAGAGAGCAGCTGCAGCAACACATGGTACGATAAATGAGTTCACCTCACCCATTAGAGATCAAACCAGCCTCAAACATAAGACTTCTTATTACAATTTCAAATTATGGGAAATAGTTATAGTTTATTTATTTATCATTCTTTAGAAATAACAAGAAATCACCAAAAATGCACATTACGTGTATTATGTGCTTTTGCCATTTTTATTCGTTTTTGATTTTTTTTTTTTTATTATCTCTATTTGGATTTAATTTATTTTTATTTCAATCAGATACCTAGGCAGCAATATTTAAGTTTTTCATTTTATTTTTATTTCAGCTTTATTTTGATTAATGAGAATATTTTTAGTTAACAATGACAATGATTATTGACTAATCAACTCACCTTCCTCTGTCCCGTTTATAGGAGCTCCAGACTCAGTTGACCCACAGGGGTGAGCAGTATCATCGCCTGCTGGATAAGGGAGAGTCCATTCTTCTGGCCAGAGGAGGGGAGGATGCGGGACCTGGTACCACCCAGACCCAACAGAACTTGGCCATGCTAACGAACAAGTGGGCCAGTCTCAATGCCAAAATGGATGACAGAAGGGTGAGGGAACCAAAGACTGATTTATGACCTTCCATTCATGTTTAAAAAGTGGTTTCTTTAATTTATTAACAGGTTCATGAAATATTTTATTCTGCCTTCCAATTCTAATAGTTCTGTTTCTGTGTCCATCTCTTATTGCAGGGTAAACTGGAGGAAGCTGTCTCATTGGCGACAGGATTCCAATCCTCCCTGCAGGACACCATTAACTGGCTGACACAGGCAGAGCAGACTCTCAACATGGCTCAGCCACCCAGTCTCATTCTCGACACCGTCCTATTCCAGATAGATGAGCACAAGGTTGGTAGAAAATGTGGTTTACTTAGTTTTTATATCTGAAATAAATGCCACTTTCAAAAACATAAAAAAAATATCTTAACATAAGACCCCAAACATTTTGAGCGGTAGCTTTTGATGTTCCTGTTTATGTTAATACTTTTGGGAAACTTGAGTCCTTGTCTTGTATTTCAGGTCTTTGTGAATGAGGTGAACACTCACAGAGAGCAGGTTCTGGCTCTAGAGAAAGCTGGCTCTCAGCTGCGATTTGCCAGTCTCAAACAGGATGTGGTTCTCATCAAGAACCTGCTGCTCAGTGTACAGGCCCGCTGGGACAAACTTGTACAGAGATCACTAGACAGAGGACGCCACCTCGATGAAGCCCGCAAGAGAGCCAAACAGGTACTGTTTGTTTGCTTTACTCTGTCTGTTGCTCTGTTCATACCTCTCTCCGTCTCTGATGTTGGTAATCTTCTCTTATCTAGTTTCATGAGGCCTGGAGGAAGCTGACAGACTGGTTGGAGGAAGCAGAGAGCAGACTGGACTCTGAACTGGAAATCTCTAATGAACCTGACAAGATTAAAATCCAACTGGCCAAACATAAGGTACAGCATTGCTGCATTAAAGAGTTTTGTGAAGCTGAAAACTTTAAGCCTTATCTCTTATGCCCTCCATCTTTTAATCACTGTACTTTAGGATTTCCAGAAGTCTCTTGGCTCCAAGCAGCCAGTGTATGACACCACAGTGCGCTCTGGGAAGGCCATGAGAGACAAAGCCACACTGCCGTCAGACACACAAAAACTGGATCATTTGTTGGGCGAGGTCCGTGACAAATGGGACACCGTGTGTGGAAAGAGCGTGGAGAGGTGAGAAGGACTGGAATAACCCATTTGGAATATGATTGGATGTAGAATGAAGTGAAACAAATACTGTATATCACTTGATGACGACGTTTTTCTTCTCAGGCAACACAAGTTGGAGGAAGCCCTCTTGTTCTCAGGTCAGTTCGCTGAGGCTCTCCAGGCACTTGTTGACTGGCTGTATCGTGTGGAACCTCAGCTTGCAGAGGACCAGCCTGTCCATGGAGATCTGGATCTCGTTTCCAACCTCATGGATTCTCATAAGGTACTAATAGGGTGATTCTTAGGAAATCTTGGTTTTAAAGATGAATTGATATTTGAAGACTTGCATAAACAAATTTCATTTGTAGGCATTAATTGTGCTAATTTATTTCAAATCAGTTTAACCCTCAGGAGCTCTTCGTTTCGGAGTCACACTTGTTATCTTCCCGGTCAAAAGTGACCGGACACCTAAAAATTGAATTTCCTCCATCGCAGTAAAACCAAAGCAACTTATTTTTGTTCTATATTTATTCTTTGTATTTTAGTATTTTGAGACAATTTGATTGAATTTATTAATATTTATGCAATATTTATGGTCTATTTTGCCATGGAAAATATATATATATTTATATATATATATATATTTTTTTTTTTTTAAATTATGAATGCAGCATTTTAGTTTAATATAGAGTCTAGGCCTTCAGAAAAAAAAAATATTTTTTGAAGAAAGAAAATTAGCACCATCTGGTTACAGTTTTGTGTGTTCACATACATAATGCCATAAAAGTCACCAAGTTTCGTAACATTTTGATGAAGCTGTGATTTTGAAAAATTCAATACATACTTTTTGTAATCCAAATTTGTTGGTGTGTATGTGTATAAAAGTGTGTTTGTATGTGTGTGTGTGTGTGTGTGTGGGTGGGTTTGTCTGTTTTGCCCTCTAGATGTTGTAGAGTGTCACCCCTTTCCTGCGGTGTACTTTTTTTTTAGAATTGTGGGCGATTTGTCGATTGCACGTACAAAAATTCAGAGAATTTTTTTTTGTCAATTTCCCATTCATTTCCTATGGGTCGGTCATTTTTGACCGAAGACAACAAATGTGACTATTTTTTTTTACGACCACTTAGCATGCTCGGATCATGACCTAAATTTTTTTTTGTATTCACATACATAATGCCATAAAAGTCACCCAGTTTCATAACATTCCGATGAAGATGTGATTTTTAGAAATTCAAAACAGAAATGACCGAAAGGAACCTGAGGGTTAAGACCTTTTTGACCATATTTTCCAAAACTATATATATATATATATATATATATATAAATGAGATATTTTAGTGTGGTCCTTGAAACCCAAAATATAATGTTTGAAAATTCCTGGTAGTAGTATGCATGAACCCTGCATTATTGATGCAGTGAGGCTTGAATGAGACTCTTACTAGGAAAGCCATTTCTGAGTAGAACAGTTTCTTAGTGGTAGTGCTGTATTTATTGTTCCTCAGGTCTTCCAGAAGGAGCTTGGGAAAAGGACCAGTAGTGTGCAGGCTCTGAAACGGTCCGCTCGAGAGCTAATGGAGACGGGCCGGGACGACACCGCCTGGGTCAAAGTTCAACTGCAGGAGCTTAGCAACCGCTGGGAAACAGTCTGTGCCCTGTCCGTTATAAAACAGACTCGCCTCCAGCAGGCTCTCAAACAGGTACGTCTGACGGTTCTTTGAATGAAACCAAGAGCAGTGTTAATATTTTCTTCTGACTATCTCTTTTTCTCTCGCCTTTTCTGCAGGCAGAGGAGTTTCGCACAGCTGTTCAGATGTTGCTGGAGTGGCTGTCGGAGGCGGAGCAAACATTGCGTTTCCGTGGCGTCCTGCCAGAGGAAGTAGAGACTCTGCAGGTGCTATTGCACACGCACCGAGATTTCATGCAGACGGTGGAGGAGAAGAGAGTGGATGTGAATAAAGCTGCTGGCATGGGGGAAGCCATTCTAGCCGTGTGCCACCCAGACTGCATCACCACCATCAAACACTGGAACACCATCATCAGAGCTCGCTTTGAAGAGGTGAGAACTGAGAAAAATGTCAACTGTGGCATCAGAAGCCTGTCTAGGCAAATAGTTTGACAAATAAGCCTCAAGCATAATATAACAGGTCTGAGTGTTTGCTGTACAGGTGCTGACATGGGCCAAACAGCACGAGCAGCGCTTGGAGACGGCTCTGGCTGAATTGCTCAACAATGCTTCACTACTGGAGGAGCTGTTGTCATGGTTACAGTGGGCGGAGACCACGCTGGTGCAGCGTGACACTGAACCACTCCCCCAGGACATCCCTCAACTGAAGACGCTCATCACAGAGCATCAGGTTAGTGGGACACAATCATTCGTTCATATTCTGTCACTCGGTTGATTTAATGTTAATTGCATTGTTTAGTCCTGAGATGTTTCTTACTATTTTTGTTTTCTTCTATAAGGTGTTTATGGAAGAGATGACCCGAAAACAGCCTGATGTTGACAAAGTTACAAAGACATACAAGAGGAAACCAGCAGAACATCCCAGCAGTCTGTCAGACAGGAGAGGGGCCCGTAAGAAACTTTATCCTCAGCTGCACAGCTAAACTAACATAACGCATAACTTGCTGAGTAGTATAGGGCATTTCAGAATGTTTGTAAACAATAGGCACCGCGATACTTCCGGGTGGCAGAACGCGAGCTGCTTCTATTGACTAACTGAAGAGATCCAGCCGGCAACTGAACAGTTACATAGTTAAAATCATTGTTGTTGATCAAAGTTGAAACGATGGCGAAAACATGTTGTGTTTTTGGGGTCGCGCCACCAGATATACAGCAAAAGGTGTAGGTTTTTTATCGATTTCCTTCAGAAAAAAATGTAAATCTATCCAGCGGAACCTGTGGGTGAGGAGGTTAAAGCGAGTGGACGTCGTCAAAAGTGCATGTCGTCTTCTAATTATGAGCCTGAGCCCGATTTAAACCCAACCATTTTTAATACGTGGGTCGTTATATAACTAAAGTTCTCAACTAACTTAGTTAATTTCTATTACTTTCTATGTTACTTTCTTTTGAGCGGTGAGGAGTAAATGCTTCTTCATCGAAAATGCTTCTGATTGGCCATTGCGTTCAATAAATCAACACATATGTCTGTGATTGGCTACATCGCTCATCGCTGCTGTCATGTTATAAATCATTTCTATTTTGTTTTTGTTGTTCTTGTTGCTTTTCTGCAACAGATGAATACAAATGTATTAGTCTTTATTTGTTTTATTCATAGATATTTCTAGTTTGCGGGAGTCCCGCGAATCGTTTTATTCTCCCGCCATCCGCACACACAGAGTGAATGCATTACCGCTCGCACTCGGCCATCAGATCTAGTCCCGCGCCGCGGTCTAGTGCGTTGGGAGTGCACGTCTCTAGATCAAAGAATCTAAGCTCTAATGATTATGTTAACTATGTCTGAATTTCCACCACGTCTATTTTTTTTAATCAACTGTTGTAGATTAGGCTACTGCCGACGGTGTGTCTTCTAGAAGTGTGCGATACCGCTAGATTTGGTATCGATCCGATACCAAGTAAATACAGGGCCTGTATCGCCGATACCGATACCAATACCGATACTTTTTAATAATTAAGGTGGATGCCTCTTCAACCTAAATCTAAATGAATTTTCATGACTTGTTTTTGTGATTTGCATTTTGGGTTATTAATCAGTTAAAATCAGTTTAAAAAATCAAAGCTTTTGTTCAGAAACAACTTTTGGTTACTTTTGTTTTATTTAAACAAAGTTACAAAATTATTACTTCACAAATATAAAAAATACAACAAATTTGTAAAAACAAATTCTCTTTTCAAGTAGCATGTTAACAAAAAATGTTTCTCTTCTTTAGTGCACTTCTTTTCAGGATTTTTTTCTTAAATAAACAAAGTCACAAGTTCTCCGTCTCTGATTGTGCTGCTGTTGACTAGAAATGCGCGGCCGCGCGCGCCTGACTGGTGGTAGTCCTGGAGCGCGCTAATGGTGAGTCACGTGACGGTACAACAAAGGAGAGGGAGACGAGAGCAGCACGGATTACAGAGAGCTTGCTCTGCTCTGTGACAGCAGCAGCATTTTGACAAACACGGTCAGGTCGCAAAACGAGAGAAACTGAAACTTAAGTATCGATATTTTCGCCGTTGGTATCAATATTATCGATATTAGTATCGATCTGCCCACCTCTAGTGTCTTCCTCCAAGCAATTTGCTAGTGTTGCCATAGGGACGCTTCGGCTTTTGCCACCCGGAAGAACGTCTATTATTGTTGTGACGTCATGGTGAATTGTCGTATTGAACGCATTTTTCTGTGCCCTACTTACAGGGAAACACCAGCAGCAGCAGCAACAACAGCATTCGGTACAGGTAACCAGTGGTAACCCTCGCCTCACCCAGCTCTGCTCTCGCTGGCAACAGGTGTGGCTGCTCGCACTCGATCGCCAGCGAAAGCTCAATGATGCTCTAGACAGACTAGAGGAGGTACTGCGTCTATTTTACATCATTTTAATTTTACTCTGTGTACTAAAATCTTAACAGTAGAAGTAATGACCTTTCTCCACGTTTAGCTTAAGGAGTTTGCCAACTTTGACTTTGATGTGTGGAGAAAGAAATACATGCGCTGGATGAACCACAAGAAGTCTCGCGTCATGGACTTCTTCAGACGCATCGACAAGGACCAGGACGGAAAAATCACACGCCAGGAGTTTATCGATGGCATCTTGGCATCAAGTACGGGCGCATGCACTTGCCTGTAATGAGGCTTTATTTTAATGCTGGTTTAACTATATATTTTGTTTGCAGAGTTCCCAACCAGCAAGCTGGAGATGACTGCTGTTGCTGATATCTTTGACCGTGATTGTGATGGCTACATCGACTACTATGAATTTGTAGCTGCTTTGCACCCCAACAAAGATGCTTACAGACCCACAACAGATGCTGATAAAATCGAGGACGAGGTATGGACGATGACAAGGAAATCTAATTTGTGGGTTTTGCATCATGTATTTTTGAGTAAAATCCTTTTTTTTTTTTTTTTTGTATCCTAGGTCACCAGACAAGTGGCTCAATGCAAATGTGCCAAGAGGTTTCAGGTGGAGCAGATCGGAGAGAACAAGTACAGGGTGAGGTTCTGGAGCTCAATAGTAGAATTCAAGTCAAATATGACATTATAAATGAAAATGGCACTTACCACTGCTATGTTATCATCACACCTCCTCATTCAGATCATCCCTAAGCTTGCCATTATAATATCACGACTCTAACCAGCATCGCACTCTTTCAATTACGTCAGTATGACTTGGCCATTTTGGAATAAAGGTGCATTGGCAGTTTTGTGTGTGTACATGATACCACCATAACACTTAACAGCAACATCCGAATGATGTGTGTGTGCTTCTCACCACCCAACTAATGATCTACCCATTGTTATAGCAATTGCAGTCATGGTCAGTCAGTGGGTGGTCTTTCATACCCCAACATCATTATCCAGTGCGGTTAATGATCTTTGACAAGAGTGTTTACTAACTTGTTGCATTGCACAGGCTACAGATCCACGATGCTATCTCCACAGCCTGATGTTCGTCCATCTTTGTCTGTCTCTTTACTACTACACCTGCTGTGCTGTCCTCAATGTGTAACAAGCACTCGTAGCAACAAATCACCATGCTTCCCATGGGCATTTCCTCCATTGTATGCTGTTTTAGTTATTAGGAATAGTTAATAGGACATGAATCATTATATCGACAAAAAAGGTCAATGTGTGTGTATGTCTGTATGTGTTATTTCACTCTCTCTTTTTCTTTTTCTTTCTTTTTGTTTCATTCCTCCTCCATGTGCACCGGACTTATTGTAGTTCTTCCTTGGGAATCAGGTAAAGTGAGCGGTGTGTTTGTAACATGTCCTCTGAAATCTGTTGCCTCTGCACAGTTCCCACAAGCTTTTTCAGACAGCCAGATCTAAATCAGTACTGGACAGTTTCTGCATGGACTAGCTAAGAATTCCCTGTGGACAGCCCACATTCTTGGCTGCTGTCTGAAATGGGGATTCTTTAGTCTCTTCCTGCTTACTCAGCGGGCATTTCCTGTCTGAGAGATAAAAATTGCAGTGCTAATGCCAAAATATTAAATGCATTCATATACGCCCTCCAAATCCAGTGGCAGATTTCAAAGGTTCAGCTTACGTGTTGTGGTTGGGATGTGCTTGTTTTTTTTTTTTTTATTGAAAAAAATGATTTATCATGATCAGGAAATGATTCAGATTTACAGGCCCTTCTATTATGATTTTAGGGTTTTTTGGGGCTTTTGGTGGAGGAAAATTATCCAGTGGCTGATTTCTTGAAAATAAACCTTCAACCAAAGCAATTCTTTGAAGTAAAAAAAGGACAACCGATCGGGGAAAAAATCCAGAGAATTGCGGCGGTGTGGTGTTTATTGTAGAGATGGGATTTGAGCTGGGCAAAAATCATGTCGATCTTAAAAAATGTGGTTTGCTGCATGCATGTTGCAGTGTGATCTCCTTTGATTTGCCTGGTGCTTCAGAATATAAGTAGTATAATGAACTCATTTGAATGTGATCTTAAAGGACTGGTTCACCCATTCTACTTCCCATTATTCAATCCCATGTCTTTCCAAAGAAAGATATTATATAGACCATTTCACAAGATGTAAACAACACTGGTCCAGAAGCACTTCCTGTTTCAGTTTTTTAACACTACATAAAAGCTGGGATAAAATAAAACCATCAGAACATATAAAACTGAATCAAAAAGTTAAACAAACATCTTTAATATGTTTTCTTTATATGTGAAATAAAGAAAACAGTTACAAACGGAAACAGGAAGTGCTTCTGGACCAGTGTTGTTTACATTTTGTGAAATGGTCTATACGTAACACACAATTCTTTAAAACATACTAGGTTTGGATGGAACAACATGAGAAGAATTTCAATTTGTGGGTGAACTATCCCTTTAAAAGACATTTTAAATGTATAATCAGCGCAGTCTCATCCCAAGACGTCATATAACGGCGACCATACGTCAACATCCATTTTTAGGGTACGCTTAAATGTCGGTTATGACGTTGTCGGATCCTAAACCTACCCCGTCACCTAACCAACGTTAAAGGTAAAGCATAAGTTGTGTGACAACCCGGGATCGTTATGTAACCGACGTTTAAGGGTACCCTAAAAAGGCGGATGTTGACGTATGGTCAAAAGACGTCCCAAGACGTCAGTTATATGACTTCTTGGGATGAGACTGTGTTGGTATAATCCTTTATCTGTCTGTCTGTCCTCTTCCCTCTCTTATCCATGTTCGTTCCTCTCCACTCTTCCTCAGTTCGGAGACTCACAGCAGCTGCGTCTTGTGCGTATCCTGCGCAGTACAGTCATGGTTCGTGTTGGAGGTGGCTGGATGGCGCTGGATGAATTCTTGGTGAAGAACGACCCTTGTCGAGGTAAGTCCCACACGACAGCTTGAGGAAACTTACTCTTTAGGTACATGGAAAAGAGGTTTCCAGAAACACTGACAGACAGACATTATTCGCATTACTCTCATTAGACTTATTCATAATCTTCATCATCTTTCACTCTTGTATTCATTCTCTTCAATGAGTTTCTCATCTTTTCAGTACTATCTGAGTTCACGTTCATCTCCCATCACTTCCCCATTTCTTCCTGACCTCTTTTCCACGGTGGTTATTTTTATATGCATGGCCTACACACCCCTGTCATCCTCCTGTTTTTATTTGATACAATTGTAGTGCATGGTGCATGTTCCTTAGGTCTCTCCCTCCCTCTTTCTCTGCCCCGTCCCCTATCTCTCGTTCTCTCTCCCCAGTGCAACATCCAGGGCTAAAAATCCTGCGTTCTGACTCCAGCAGCTCCATATCATCTCGCATAGGTTGGGTTTTCTCTCTCCTTCTCGTTCAGATTTTCTTCTTTTTCACTCGTTTTGGTTCCCCCCTCTCTTTGCCTTTGTTTCACTCACACTTTGTTTGGTTCTTTGTTGCTTTGCTGTGCTTTGCTGACCGTGACACTGATCTAACCCTCACGCCTGGTGCTCATTACGGACCAATTGTGCTCTGAGAATTCTGGCTCAGCCATTTACATCACTTCCTGCATTTTGATTTAAAATACTACTTAATGCATACAGTATTTATATTCCAAAAAATAGTGTTTGTAGACCTTTTGTTGCAAAGCAAGAGGTTTTAACGGACAAGTTCACACAAAAATTTAAATTCTCATGTCGTTCTGAACACGTATGACTTTTTTTTGTAGAACATAAAAGAATATATTTTGAAAAATGTTTATGCTGCTCTTTTCCAAGTAAATGGGGAGTGGAAGAAATGCTTGGTTTAATGTAAATAAAGTTAGGTGATTGTCTACTGCTAAATATCTCCTTTTGGAAAATCGTACATGTTTGGTACGACTTGAAGGTGAGTAAAGTTGTAAATGATGAATTTTGTTTTTTGAGTGAACTATCCCTTTCAGAAGAACGTGAGTGTGTGTTTGACCCTTTCTGTGTGAATGCGTGTTTTTCATGTTGTCTCTTGTGTCTCTCAGTGACGGTTACTCCTGGCTATTTCTGCTGCAGAGGTACCTCATTCTCTCTCCTTTCTCTCCTCTTAACTCCTTTCCTGTTTGACTACATCTGTCTGTCTATTCCATTCTGAGCCTCTAAACCTTTTCGTCCAGCTTCGGATCCATCCCATCACTGCTGTGTCTTAGTATGTGTGGCGTGTGCGAGAGCGAAAGGACTATGTGAGGTCTATGTGTCCGCTAGCATCATGCTAACCATTCAATCCAGGCTTGGCCAGGCCTGGGCTAGATTCCTTTCATGCGTGTCCTGGATGAATAGTGCAAATGAAAAAGCATCCAGAAGCAGGGTGTGGCCAGGCTTGGGGTTTCTAATATTGTTTGAAGCAACTCTTAAAGAGCAATTACTCATGGAGAAATGGATTACAGGCCCCACCTGCTTTGAGGGGAGGAAATTATATGGTGTGGTAGTTATCAACTGCTCTGCTCTTACTGGGTTTGATGGAAAAGTGAGTGTCATGCAGTGTTGGGGAAGCTACTTTGAAACAGTAGCTTGCCAAGCTAAAAGCTACTTATAATTGAAAGGAGCTGCACTTTTGAAAAACGAATTAGCCGCACTACAAAATAACGACAAAAAAACACAGAAACTATTGAGAAGGGCAGGATCTTGTTAAATAACCACAGTGACCCTAAATGGTTTTTGTACACATCAGCCTCACTTAAAAATGTTTCGTTTTTTCTTGCTTTGTATGACAATGTCAAAGCAAGTGGCATTTATTTGAAGAAAGATAGCACAAGCTTACTTTTCAAGCAAAATTTCTCACAAAAAAAAGAAATGTATTAGATAATAAAGCAGCAGACACATTTGTTCATAAATACAACTCATGAAACTGGAAAGACATTTTTATGATTATTTATATTCTAGCATAATTTTTTTATTATTATTATTTATTTATACTCTGTTTCCAAAGCAAAATGTTTTACTTTTTAATATTTATATTTAAATTCATTTCAGCTTTATTTCAATGAATGAAAATCATTTTTTTAATAGTTGAATTTTTTTAATAGGGACTTTAGTATCCCACTTCCCAATGCTACTTTAGATAAAGGGGAGAGTGTGTTTGATTGTCTCATTTTGCTTGTCTGTAAGGCTACGTGTTATGTTCCACTATAACGCTACTGAAAATGAATTGTCTGTGAATTTAGTTAGTTACTCCTCAACACTGATGTCTTGAAGGAATAACAGACAAATTCTGACCACAGCTACTGCTGCCATTGCGCACAGCCCTCTCTCTCTCTCTCTCTCTGTTTCTCAGCTGGCTGCTCTGGTCTGTGTGTTTTGCAAGGGCTGCTGTGTTTTTTTTATCTGTTATTGAGAATGTTCTGTGAAGGCTTGTGTTGGTTTTCAGTGTTTGCTAAAAGCATTATCAGGCATGACCCTCAGGTATCCGTCGACGCTGTTTATGCGTGTGCACTGGTTTACGTGGTGGGCTGAGGGAAGCTTTTGTTCTTGTTTTGAGGATGCTTGCTCAATGACTCACCGTTAACCCCCTGCATCGTGTCCACCACGTGCACTGAGCGCTTTTTAAGTGGGTATACCGATCCCTCTGTCTGCATTGAGTCAAAGCAGTGGCCAGAGGAAGTGTTGAGTCTCCCCACTCGCACTGCTCACCACCTGATCATCGCGCCTTACAGCTTTCTTTCTTTACGGCAGCTCGTGGACGCACCAACCTGGAGCTTCGAGAGAAGTTTATTCTTCCAGAGGGAGCTACGCAGGGTCTGGCGGCCTTCCGGTCCCGGGGGCGTCGATCCAAACCTTCGTCGCGCACGGCCTCACCCACCCGCTCGTCTTCGTCGGCGTCGCACAGTGCCCACAGCTGCGCCTCTCTGCCCTCTGCACCCGCAACTCCCACAGCATCCTCAAGGGTGAGTGTAACCATATAACACTGCATAGGCTTATAATAACCCATACTTACTGTATGTTGTGTCTTGTGTACTAATGTCTTCATCAAAAATTAGAGGGTAACCTCAGTCTCAAAAAATGTTCTTGTTGTATCATACACTACTGTTCAAAAGTTTGTTTTTTTTGTCTGATTAAAAGTGATATACTTGCAAAAAAGCTTTGAATAAATTACATTTCCAAAATGCATTCAAAAGTTATTTCTAATTGTAGAGACATTTAATGTTAAATTTTGTAATTATTACAGTCTTTACTGTAAATTTAGTCAAATAAATGCAACCTTGCTGAGATTTTTTTAAAAACAGTGGAAATCTTACCAACCCCGAACTTTTAAACTGTTGTGTACATTTAGTCACAATTTATCTAGATGTACCGTTGTGCTTGTTTACAAGCATTTGTTTGGACACCATTTGCAGAATCTGTAATGATGTTTAGCAATTTACAAAAACAAGAGATAAAATCTTAAAATCCTAAAATTCAGAAACCCTTGTTATCAGCTACACCAGTAGTTGTTAAGTGAACTACAGCCAGCAACTTACTGCTTGTGCTCGCACGCGTAAAATACAAGAGACTAAACATGATTCAAGGCCCCGTGTGCAAAGTTCTTTTTGTTATTCGCTTAAAAGTAAAACGAAGTTGGAAATATATAATATGATAACATAATGTAATAAATGTCCTTTGTCACTTAACATGACATCATATTTCATTTCTGATTAATAACCATAGTATGTTAATCATGGTTTGAATGTGTGTGATTGCTTGTGTTTTATGTTTTCAACTAAATTTTAAAGAATGAAAAGATAGATTTAGTATAGAGCTTAATAAATGTATGTTATGTTTTCAACATTAATAATAAGAAATGTTTATTGAGCAGCATATTAAAATGATAACTGTATGTAACTCTGAAGACTGATGCTGAGTAATGTTGCTGAAAATTCAGCTTTGCTTTTTTTATTGCAGTAATATTTACATAATAGCTGTTTTAATGTATTTTGATCAAATAAATGCAGCCTTGATGAGCATAATAGACAACTTTAAAAAATCATAAAAAATCTGAGCCCAGATTTTTTTAATGGTATTGTTATAAAAAATAAAAAATAAATATATATAATAAACTTTATGCGATTACTTGGCAAGGCCGACATACTGTATCATTCTTTCGCTAGTCTGTTTGGTGGATGGTTTCTCTTTGTCTCTGATTGTTGTTTCGGGGTCAGGACATGATCACTATTGTCTCTGCATGTCAGAATCATATTGTCATCTGTGAAATTTTTATTTGTTCTTTGTCTTTTTGTCCCTCTCCCCTCCCTTGCTTGGAAAATGTGCCTTCCTCCCTGTTTGCGCTCATCTCCACCTACAAAAACACTACGCTCTGTTGTGCTGCATCGCCTCCCTCTACTTTACTCTTTTTCCGATTATCCTGGCTTCTTCCCACTCCTTTTTTTTTTGCTGCTCCGCTATTCCTTGTCCTTTTTGCTGCCGCATTTCCCAGTCCACCCAATCCCAATCTCGTGACTATGCCAAGCCCTGGCTGGCACACAGTAAAACTCCAACTCCAACCAAGTGCCAGTCCTGCCCAGAGCACAGCCAGACCCCTGGGCATGAGGTAACACACTGCCCCCTCCCAGTGCTCTAGCACACTAACAATAAAAGCTTTAAGAGCGGCCTGATCTTAACACATGGGATGGACCTGAGGTCGATGACCCAGAGAACAGTGCAAAAAAAATACAAAAAAAATTCAGTACAATATATGACAGAAAACATAGTTTGTCTTGAGGAAAAGATGCAATCAATTAATTTGCATAAACATTACTTTTATGTTCATTTAGGAATTATTCTGTTAAGCCATGTTACGTTATGACAATCGACAGATTCATTCATGTCAATTTCATCCAGGCTTATTATCATACACTGCCATTTTATAATAAACCTTCTCTCTTTACAGGGAGGCTCCACAACTAAACTGAAGAGACCAACTTTCCATTCCAGCCGTGGCTCCTTAACTGGGGAGAACGGTGGAACACCAACCGCTGCTAAACCTGGACGCTCTGGTACAAAACCCTGTACTGCTTCACTCTCTCACAGCTGCAGCACAGCAGTTAAAGGGGACTTTAAAATCGATCTAATATCCAGTGTTGGTTCAAACAGATCCTTCAGGAAAATGTAGCTAATAACAAGTAATACTATACTGAAGCTATTAAGTGGGCAATATATTATAGACCATTTTGCAAGATGTAAACAACACTGGTCCAGAAACACTTCCTGTTTCAGTTTGTAACTGTTTTCTTTATTTCACATGTAAAGAAAACATCTTAAAGATGTTTGTTTAACTTTTTGATTCAGTTTTATATGTTCTGTTGGTTGTATTTTATCCCAGCTTTTATGTAGAGTTAAAAAACTGAAACAGGAAGACCAGTGTTGTTTACATCTTGCAAAATGGTCTATATGTTAGTGCTTCAGCCAACAACATTTTATGATTCTTAAACGTTTTGTTCAGTACAATTGTCACTAATGAACACAACTTTTATGAATTTTGAAGCCTAAATACAATCAACAGAAGCAAAAAATCTAAATGTGGGCTATAAACAAACTGAACCATGGTCACATGACTTTACATCACTAAGCTTCTGAAAAAACTTTAAGACCTACAAGCTGGAAACTGAGTTAGATTAGTTTGCAAGAGCGCTAGTATAAACACAACGCTGTAAAGATTAAATGAGTGAGTAGATGAGTTTACCTCTTCAGCGTGATGACATTTAAAGGAGTAGTTCACTTTTAAAAAAACTTTTGCTGATAATTCACTCACCCCCAATTCACTCACTCACCAAGATGTCCATGTCTTTCTTTCTTCAGTTGAAAAGAAATTAAGGTTTTTGATGAAAACATTCCAGGATTTTCTCCATATAATGGACTTAAATGGGAACCAAACGGTTCAAGGTCCAAATGAGAGTTTCAGTTCAGCTTCAAAGGGCTTTAAACGGCACCAGACGATGAATAAGGATCTTATCAAGCGAAACGATCGGTCATTTAAAAAAAAAAAAAAAAGTTTAAGTTTTAGAAGCACAAATGCTCGCCTTGCTCTGTTCTGTGATGCGTGTTCGTGACTCTCCTGTTCAAAATTGTTAATCAAAATGAACAAATCTTTTTTCGAGTCATGACTCGAAGGGTCCTAGATAAGACCCTTATTCATCGTCTGGTGTCGTTTAAAGCCCTTTGAAGCTGCACTGAAACTCTCATTTGGACCTTGAACCGTTTGGTTCCCAATGAACTCCATTATATGGAGAAAATCCTGGAATGTTTTCATCAAAAACCTTAATTTCTTTTCAACTGAAGAAAGAAAGACGTGGACATCTTGGATGACATGGGGGTGAGTAAATTATCACCAAATGTTTTTTTTTAAAAACTGAACTACTCCTTTAATGTGCCAGAAAATCTTTGTAGTCCTATTTACCTACTTGTTTGCAGCCACCTTTTTAATTAATCATATTTTATGTCACGGAATAAAACGTGAAAATATCTTCAGCTTGTGTTCACCACAAACTTTATTTCAGACATTTAACCAAAAAACAATCCTGCACCACACTATTATAAATGTATAACCGTCCAATGGCATTCTTTGACATCGTTATATTAAATTCTGAAACTAGAAACCACAGAAGTGTATATTAGTCAATATATTGTGATATTGTCAATATTATCAATATGAAAAAGACAAAAAACGTAATTGCAGCATCAAAACAAACCAATTTTTCAAAATGAATAAATTATGTTTTATAATGTTGCTTGCTTGCTTTTGTGCACAACACATATATCACATTCACCTCTGTGTGTTGGATAGACTAGCCAATTACTGGTTAGTTAGCAGTGTTGCAATTTTTAGATGGTTTTAGTTGATTTACAACACTACTAATATTACATTATTGTTTATATTTGACATTATGTACTATATTACTGTACCCTTAAACTTCAATCGTCGTCTTTCATCAGACACCAAACGCACTCCGTCCTCGACGAGCGGCCCAGCCAGTCGCGCAGGGAGTCGCGCTGGGAGCCGAGCCAGCAGCCGGAGAGGCAGCGACGCTTCAGACACGTCTGAGCTCATGGAGACCCGCTCGGCTTGTTCCGATACCTCAGACACCCCTCGCCGGCCTGGGGCCAAACCCTCCAAAATCCCCACCATCTCCAAGAAGACCCCTAGCCCCAAAACACCAGCGGGCAAGAAATGAAGTCTGTGGTGGTTCTGATTTAACCAGCAGGAGGAGAACACCAACACCAGACTCTCACCTCTCCAGCGCCCGCACACTGCTACACCACCCAGATTAATACCCACCATAATGCTGCCTTATTTGTGTTCTACATCATGTCCTTAATTTAACCGACATTCGTTTTCTTGAATGTGCGATGGAGAGCATCCTGTGTGAGCAGATACACACAGAGGGACATCAATTCTGCACCAGGGGTTTCCACTGTTCATCTCTATGAATATGCAATCGCCCGTCACTCTCCAAACCTCATCAGACATGCATGGTTGTCACTTTGGAGATGTTTGGTTGGACGCACTCACGTATACAGACCAGCTGGCCTCTCGCCCAGGTGTCTGTACCACTGCTAACAAGAGGAAGTCAATTTTGAGACCTTTTCCTCCTCGGCACTTGGAACTTTTTGGACTCGTGTGCGTGTTTGTGTGTGTGTGTGTGCGTGTGTGTGTGTGTGTTTGTATGTACGTGTGTGGTAGTTCCTGTCATGGTAAATTAACGCAGTAATAAGGAGAAGAAGTGGAGGAGGACGCATATCTCAGCCTTGTGACGAGAAGACTAGATCCTTCTCGATCCTTTTAAAGGAGCCCCTATTGCACACAGCACACGAGTTTCATGCACTCGCACCCACAGTCTTCTCCGCAGTCTAGTCGTGTCCTTTTGTTACAGACGTCATGTTACAGAGCTTTTCCACAGTATGCAAAAATGATTACAATTGTGAATGTTTGTTTCATGGTTAATTTATAATCTTGACGTTTTGTTTGTTTTCTCGGGTAAAGAGCTGTATTTATTTGTGATTGCCGTATCATATCAACTCTTGAGAATGACTAGTATTAACACAAGCGGAATCACTCTTCTTTTCGTTTTCGTACATCCGCTCCTGACGTAATGAATTGCTTTGACTGATCATTGCTGATGTTAACTGACCAGGAAGCTTACTGATTCCAATGGTGGCCTTTTTGCCGGTGACTACACACTTTAGATGACGTCAAAAGTGGCTTCCTACTTGTTCTTTCGTGAAGGAAGCGTCCTAGATAATGGATGATGGGGGCGGCTCGCGCAGCCCCCGTTAAAAACAGCGCTTTGAATCTTGTCTTTGACAAGCTGAAGTATATGAATACCTGAAGAAAGGTGATTTTTATTTATTTATTGTGTCATTTGGAGGGGGGTGAGGGCTATGAAAGGATCCACCTTTTGATTGTGTTACTCTTTTTGACATGACTGAGAGAAACAGGGGTGCAATTGTGTAAAAGTAAAGAAGCTATGGTTATAAATCCTTTTTGTTCTCTTTTGTATTAAAACAATGCTTGCAGTACAACTGTCTGATTCTCGTGTTGTGTGTGTGTGTGTGTGAGCGTGCAGGGATGCCATAGTTAACAGGAAATGGCACTGTAATTACAAGCTGTAGAGATAATGACACACCCCATTAAATCTTCAAAAAGGGACAAGCCTTTGGTGTGTGCAGTTTTGAACACTGCTCTTTTATATAAGATTTACAGTCATTTTGGAGTTCAAAAAATGGCCCCACGAGGGAATAGAAGCACCTTTGTTTGAGCCGTGCGTGTTGGTCGCACATAAGTAGTGTGTGTGTTTGCACTGGACTCTGTGTATGTTTGGTGGTCAGATGCAGCGGATGGGGTTAGGGAGGGTGGTGTTCCATCATCTTCATTCTGCAGCTGTGAGTGTGTTTATATACAAATATTTAAACCCACTCACATCCTTTCCCACCAAACACCATCCACACCGCATGGCATCTCACAACCCTGTAGAGTCATTTCATTTTCAGAATCTTTTTGAGTGCTTTTATCAAACAACTATTAAAGGGATAGTTCACTTTGAAATTCATTTTTGATATGTTTTAGCTTACCTCAAGGGCATCCAAGATGTAGGTGTCTTTGTTTCCACAGTATTTTCAATTTTGACATTTTTCGGTCAAACCGGTGTAGTCTGTCAGTCATGTAATGGAGGTTTATGGGGTCCACCTTAAAGAGCATGCACAGAGAAGTCAAAATTAAACATGATTTAATGACTTGTGAATGAAAGTACACACTGATGGCCTAAGACACGAAACGAGCTGTTTGTGTGAGAAAACGAACAGTATTTATATAGTTTTTACCTCTTGTTAACAGCCATGTTGAACTGATCTGAATCAGATGTCCAACTAAACCGTATCCAACGATACGCCGGAAGTGATCTCTCGCGCGTCTACGTCACGCATTGTTTACATGGAGATTTCGGAAGTTTTACCTTTCACTAAACATATTTAGATATATGGGAAATCGCAATGGAAGACCATTTCGATATATATCTAAATATGTTTAGTATTTGTTTATATATTCATAGTATAGACCATTTTGCAAGATGTAAACAACACTGGTCCAGAAACACTTCCTGTTTTCTTTATTTAACACGTAAAGAAAACATCTTAAAGATGTTTGTTTAAATTTTTGATTCAGTTGTATATGTTCTGTTGGTTGTATTTTATCCCAGCTTTTATGTAGTGTTAAAAAACTGAAACAGGAAGACCAGTGTTGTTTACATCTTGCAAAATGGTCTATATACATTCATTTTATGTGTGCATTTCTATTTATATAAATATAGTAATTTAGTTTCAAATGCAGTTTTCCAGTTCACTTTAATAGCCCTGTTGTGTAATTTTTAGTCATTTTGAGTAATATAGTTTTTAAAAAAATAGATTATAAAACTATGTCTTTAAATAAGAAAAGGTTTTAGATGAACTACAGACCCTTTCTATCATTGGTACATATTTCAACTACCTGTCTGCATGGACACTTTTAAGTTCATGTTCATTTTATATCCACACCAAGTTTTTTTTCCAAAATTGCCATCTTATGTCTTCAGTGAAACGGCAGTGATCTGTCACTTCTTGGCTACTGTTCTTGAAACCACAGAATATAAATATAGTTTTCATATTACCCTAGCCATAAGAACTCAGTTCTAGTGTGTGCAAAGGCTCTGGATCACATCTGCATCCCCAAACCACATGATAATTGTCAGCAATTTGTGAGGTATGTGTAGAAGATGGGACGGTTTGATAGGGTAGATGGAGACTGAGGTGAGAAGGAAGAGAGGGAGGAGGATTCAGACGTTGGATACACTCCCTCTGCGTAAGCGTGTATGTTGGAGGGAAGGAGGGCATCCATGTTCAGATTGTGCCTTCAGCGCAAGCGGCACGCAGGCTAAGAATACCATAGTCCACTGGGATCTCACAACTTCAAAATCCAGAAAAACGTTTGGGGACTGTAACACTATTCTGCTCAACTTGCTCAAAATTGTGGATTCTTTTTCTTACATGTTTCAGGAGTCTTGGATATTTCCGCACACTGGATTTAACGTTTAAATCCAGCATTGATTGATTACTGCAAGGGAGTTTTCTAACTTTTTGTTCAAATAATTTCATCAGGTCTCACATCTTCTCAAAAGGAGCAGGAGCAGGTGTTGTGTTTGATCCAGGAACCTTTGAAGCGGCCCTCTGCTTTTAGTTCTACCCAAAGCCTTTAATTTCACATTGTGCTTAGTCCTTCCAACTTCGAGATCACCTTTGAAAGGAGCTGGGCTTCTAGTGAGACGTGTTTGTTTTCTCTTCCAGTTTCTGGGACATTGTTTGCCGCCCAGCTCCGTAAGCACACTGTAGATTATGAGAGAAGCCCTGTGGTTTGGTAAATAAAGTGACAGCATGAGGAACGACTGTCAGGAGGTGATAAACTGAGCAACTCGTAGCAGTAAACATTGAACTCTTCCAAATAACGATGACTGCTGTGGAATCTGAGTGGCTCAGGCGTTTGAGTGTTGTTCAGAGTTGAATTTCAAGACGGTAGTCAGACCATTTCAGAGAAGACCGACGTCGGGTGAACACCCAGAGGTTTTGGAGGGACAAATACCAGGATAAACTAGATAGTCGATTCAGCCACAAGAATGGACAAACAAGAGCGTGTGGTTGAGTCTGTGTCCTCATGCCGCAGCAAAGGGAGGAAGGAGAGCAAGAGAACCCGACTGTTCCCTCTGGCCATCTTCCTCCCTCTGTGCATGTTGCTGTGTGTTTGGGGTCAGGTGGAAGGAGTGGTTCATTCCAGCTTCCGCAGGCTCAGCGGTCGGGAAAAGAAGGAGATGCAGAAGGAGATTTTATCCATTCTGGGTCTACCAGGACGGCCCAGACCTCACCCGCCACTGCGGCCCCCTTCCTCCGCCCCGCTCTTCATGCTGGACCTTTACCACGCCGTGTCGTCCGAGGCCGATGATGGACCGGGATTGGGCTTCACTCCGGAAGTGGTCAGTCATGCCGCGCTGCCAATCTTAAGCACACACACACCGCCCCTCGGCACGGTGGTCAGTGAGGCGGACACGGTCATGAGCTTTGTCAACCTGGGTAAGTGACAGATGGTTAGGGTTAACAGGAGTCCTCACTTATACATGTATGACACTTTAAAATAGGGAGATGTCATGTTCATTTAATTTAATTAAGTTAAGAGAACGACAACGCAAAGTATTTTACAATGGTAAGTTTGATGGGTTTCAAATTATAAAACAAGTACTATATTACATTTCTGGTGGTCAAAATCAGTGGAAACTGAACTGGAAAATGTTAATAACAGTGTTTCATTGGGCAGCTTTTATTCATATTTTGAATTAGCTTTTATTTTCATATTTTAAATTTTAGAATGAGTTTCATCAATTTTATGTGCTTTTGTTATTTTTTTATTTGTTTCTGAGGGTTTGTTTTTTATATGTTGTTTCAGCTTTAATTTGTTTCAGTTTTTTGTTTTAGTGATTTTACTACTTTTTTTTTCTGTCAGTTGCAAGTGCAACATTTCTAATTTTCATTTATTTTTCATGTTCAAGTTAGTCATCTAATATTTATTTTTAATAAAAAAAAACTATTTTAATAGATTTAGTTTTAGTTACCAATAACAACATTTTTTTTAATATGAAGCCCTTCTGCCATGAAACAAAATGTGTAAAAGGGTCCTAATTGTAAAATAAATTTTAAATAATAAACAAAGTCACACTAGCAGAAATTATTATTATTATTTGGATATTAAAAGTCATTACAAAAATAGCTAAGAAGTAGTTTAGCAATAGCATATTTTGTTTGCATCTGCCATTCGGTTTGATATTTTAACAAATACAATGGTACATTTTAAGTCTGGTTTGAGGGGTTTTTGTAACTAATATTGTTTTATAGAACAAAAATACATTATTTGAATCCAGATAGTTAACTTATTCTTATACAGTGAGATTTGCAAGTGATTTTAAGCGCTTAATGAGACAGACCCACAATCACTCCATCATCTCTTCCTGTCTCAGCCCAAACACAGACGATACTTATCTGTCCGAAACAAACAACAGTTTAACATCCCATTTACAATTACTGGATATCTTTCTGCCCCATTATCATTGGTAAGTATCACCTCTTTCTCAAATTCAACTAGTGGTGTTACCTTAGACAAGCGTCGCTGTTATAATCGCTCATTCTTCAAGTGGTTATAAACAAACCCGTTTGAAACTTCGCTGCTTAGCAGTTTGTGCTACTAACATGAACGATGCCTCGATTCATGTGGCTTTTTGATGAGAGGTCTAGAATTGCGATCAGACAAATGTTCCAAAAGAGGGGTTTTGTAGACCGTTGTAGGTTCTCCTTTCAGTAAAGTTCTTAAAAGAAACATTACCCACTATAAATAACCTTTCGTGCACTGGAAAGGTTGGTTCTGTGGAGGTTAAACGTTCTTCATGGACCCAGAGATGTTGTAGTGGGGACACAGCTGTGGGGAATTACAGGCCCCACTGAAAGGCAGAAAGAAAAAAGATGAGATGAAGTGGATGAAAATACTGTTGGGCACTCCTCTAAAAATAGAGCGCTGGACTGTAATTAGTGGTGGTGCTCTGAGCGACTGCTGTTCCACAACTCCTGTAATTACTCCAGTGCAGTGCCTGGGCCGTGGGTGTCAGTCAGAACCAGAACTAATCTTCCCTTTTCTGTTCCACATCTTCTCCTGCCAATCACCCCTCCATCGTCTTCATCTCAAGTGTATTCACGCTCATTTTAACTCCCTCTCTGTCTTTGTGAACGCAGTGGAGCAGGAGAAGGATCTGCTCCAGCCTCGGCCGTACTGGAAGGAGTTCCGCTTCGATCTCACTCCTCTTCCTCAGGGAGAGACGGTCACCGCTGCTGAGTTTCGTATCTATAAAACTCTTACCATGGGTTGGCGTGCAAACCGCACCCTTCATATCTCTGTCTATGAAATCCAGAGGGAGAAAAGAAACAGGCCAGTACACATATAAGACATTTGATACAATATTGAGTATTAAACTAGATAGCATTTAATTTTAGTGTTTAGGATACTAAATATTTCGTTCTTTGTGCATTCATCAGTGAGATCCTGCATTGGTCATTATAATGGGAATGACATTTTGATCTTGTGGTTTGACAGGGAGCCTGAGCTGGTGTTGCTGGACATGCAGTCTGTGCCTGCGGGTCAGGAGGGCTGGTTGGCATTTGATGTGACTTCTGCGAGCAATCGCTGGCTTCTCCATCCTCGGTGCAACCTGGGCATACGCCTTTACGTGGAAACTGAGGAGGGTGAGCTATGTACAAAGGGCGGAATACAATAGTGTCTGTCCGCTCCGATAGTCTAACAAGTTACGAGTGGATGTTGCTTCCTAGACTTCTGAAATCCAATGTTTTTGTTTGCATCATTTGTACTTCATAAGATTGTATGGCACCCCATAGAACTTTAAATTGGAAAGTTTGAATTGTCTCCTAACCCATTTGCGGGTTTAATTCCTAGTTAAATTACTTAACATTGCAAAAATTATTTATTTTAACAAGCTATATGTATATCCGAGGAGGCAAGAAAGGCAGTGCCTCCTCAAAAAAAAAAAAATTGGATGAAAAAAAATCCATATTGCAAATATAAAATAATGCAAATATGACATTAAAAAGTGTATAAAGCCGCCATTGTAGCAGAACTTCACCTGCTGTTAACATCCCATTGACTCCCATTCATTTTGGTGTACCTTTGACAGCTAATAACTTTACATCTGAGGCGTTCAAAGATTTATCCATTATTTATTTCTAAAGGAACACGACAATGTATAAAACGCTCCATTACTTTGTATCTTACGTTATGGCCCCGTAGATTTTCTGTCGCACAATAGAGACATTACCCTATAGACAGGAGGAGATGCTCGCAGGCAATCTTTTACTGTCGATGAGGCAATCGGGGGGACATGGAGGCATAAAGTCCAGGGAGAAGCCCATAGATAGAGAGTCCATAAAAGCAATGGGAAAAAATATTTCAACAACGTTTTGCTTGGCACAGCTACTTGAAGATTTACAACTGTCAGACTGTCGTCACGCTCAGTTTGGTGGGGGTAAATTAATATGAGGAAAGTCATGTAAATAGGCGATGATTGGTATGATGGTTTCATGTGATAATCCCGCCTCTTGTTTTCATGCCTGTTTCACGTTTGCAAATCAGTCTGAATGAACAACTTATAGGACGACTAAATAAAAAGTAAACAACTCCCCCAATTAGATGTCACCGATTATGTCAAAATCAAAGTTGAAATGGCCTGAAAATTTCAGATTGGTTTCAGAACTTTCAGATTGGTGAAATTAAATGTTCGTTTTCATACTGAGTTTGATGACTGATGATCCGAAAATAAGTTGACCATTAAAAATGAACAGCTGAACATCAGTTTACAAATAAAATGTATTGTTTAAAGTACTACTGCCTTTAGTTATTACTTTGGACTAAATGTAAAAAATGCTTAAAAACACATTTATAAACTCAAATAAACAGAACATTAATTACATTAATATATTTAAAAAAAATGTATGTAATGTTATGTTTCTTTAACCAGGATAATGTGACATTAAGTGTAACTGGGACATAAATTTATATTAGATTTATTACTCTCTCTGGATTATGACGATTATGACAATTAATGGCAAAAGGAATGTTTTGAAATGTAAACTGATATTTCCTAGACACAGTACAGCAAAAGATATAAATAACTGGCTTAAAACCCTTTTTTGGAAGGTAAAAATACTAACATGCCTAAGACTTTTGCACAGTACTGTATATAAACAAACTGGGTAGACTTTGCCTCCTCATTACAGATATATCACTTATTATATATAACTCTCTATATATAAATGTTCTCCCTTTGGTCCCTTAACTTGATTTCACTGAGTTTAATTATCCGCAATCTCAATGGTTTGAAATAATACATATATTGTTAAATGTTTTCTTGCTATACCGTCAGATTTATCATCAGAACAAATATTATTAAAGGAGTTTTGGATATTTGTAAGAATTCTGCTCTAACATGAAATGTTAAAGTCAGACTGTATCTTGGCAATGCTTTATATAAAAAAAAGAAAAGAAAAACATGGTCTGTGCCATTGGACAAATGCTAAGATCTTGTTTCAGACCGGTCGCTGTCAGCTGCATGGGTGGGTCTGGTGGGTCGGCGCGGGCCGCGCTCCAAACAGCCTTTCATGGTGACGTTCTTCAGAGCCAGTCAAGCCCCTTGCCGCCCACCTCGAGCTGTGAGACACAACAATCCACGCAAGAAAAAACCAAAGTACGACCTGCCACACCCAAACAGACCCGGCATATATGGTGAGCCACAATAAGCGGTTTAAAAGGCAGATTGTGTTTTAGGAAGTATATGAAATGATTTGTCTTTGAGCTGTGATCGTCTCACTTTTTCCAGACCAAAATCATGCCAGCAGTGGACGCCAGGCCTGTAAGAAACATGAACTCTATGTCAGCTTCAGTGACCTTGGCTGGAAGGTGACTTTTACAACAATCTTATAATATACAAAAAGTTAATTCTGAGTCACAGATCACACACAGTACTAAAAGTTGATTTGGTCAATAGGTATAGTTCTAAACAAGTAAAAGCAGAATTATAGCTTGCATTCAGTGTTTTGAATGACTCAATGGCTCACTCATGAAGACAGTCACTTGTTGCCAGATATTGGCTTTTTAATGTAACCTGTAGGAAGAGTCACTCAGAAATCCACCATTAATGTACAGACTGACAGTTCGGGATAGAGCGGAGTAATACAAAGTGAAGTCCCTGGAGTTTTAATAATTTATTTAATAAAATGACTATTTTTCAGGACTGGGTTTTGGCCCCTACCGGTTACTCTGCGTATTACTGTGATGGGGAATGTGATTATCCTCTGGGCTCTTGTATGAATGCCACAAACCATGCCACGATACAGCTTCTGGTGCGTAATCTGTACTTTTAATATTTCACTTCAACGCTAAGAGCATTTAAAATGAACTGATTCTTTATTTATATATTTTTTATATACTTTCCTAGCTGCTTGAATATGTGCCGTGTTGCCAAGTCTGCGGTTTTCTTGTGAAATTGGGCTACTTTAAGTTGTTATTTTACTTTAAGTATGTTTGCGCCTAACTTTTGAAGCAAGGACCTGGCAACCCTGTATATGCCTCTCTCAACTGTACTGACTCCTTTGGCAGGTTCACCTTCTCAGACCAGATGAAGTGCCCAAAGCCTGCTGCGCTCCAACCAAACTCAGTCCCATCTCTGTGCTTTTCTACGACGACAACAACAATGTTATTCTCAAGAAACATCGAAACATGGTGGTCAAGAACTGTGGCTGCTTATAACCTCCTGTACTCATTATTTCTATTGTACATTCAAATTTTCAGCTTAGGCTATTTGCCACACTTTTATTGTGAGTGGATTTAAGGTTGGAATTATCCCATAATTTAAAAAAAATACATATTTTGCAGTTGTCTTACACTTAAACTGCACAGGTTTTCCAACCCGATCTCACGACCAAGTCGTACGAATTCGACGAATGATTAAAAAGTGGCTAATTCGTAACAATTCATACGACCTCACTCGTACGAATTAATACGATTTTGCTAAATCGTACATATTTTACGAATTGGCCAATTCGTATGAATTCGTACGAATGACCTACCCCTTACCCCGCCCCTGAACCTAATCATCACGTGGGTTTAGACAAATCGTACGAATTAGTACGAGTGAGGTCGTACGAATTAGCCACTTTTTAATCATGCGTCGAATTCGTACGAATTGGTCGTGAGATAGTGTTGGGTTTTCATGTGTAGAATGTAGTAAACAGCCTGTTTCGATTCACAAAGCCACAGAAAAAATAACTTAAACCAAATGTAAACCAGATGTCAAAGCTGTATAAAGTTCCTAGATTACTTATAATTGTCTGGTGTTTTTAGTCTACTGAATTTTCTTGGAAAGATATTTTTGCTGTTTTTTTATCAGCAGAACAGTCCAAAAAATACATTTAATAACACTAGGCCTACAACCCTCTGAACAGATTATTAACAGTGTCTATCCTCCCCAGCCTTGCTTTCATTACAGTTTAAAATGGCAAAGATGGCACTGCTGCGAATAAGGTCTATGACGTTTAGTATATATGGTGCGGATCACCCCCTCAATGTATTTTTCGCCCCTTTTTCCATGTTGAAGATGACGTCGGACGCTCATTGGCTGTCGTCCCTAGTGTTTGGTGATATGAATATTGAAAATAAGATAAGGGAACACAACAACGGGAGATTCTGAGGAAGCTTTTTCTGCCACTGAATAAAAATGGTAAGTGCGACTTCATATCATAATTAAGATTTATCCTCTCCGCCCCCACAAGTGTACATCTCGCTGCTCTTTTTTTCCCCCTCAGAATTGCTTGATAAAGTTTATTTATCACAATAATGACTATAACACGACATTGTGAGATATGAATTTGCAATTCAGAAGAAAAAAAAAAAAGTATTCTTCCCCTCAGAATTGGACTTAACTTGCAATTAGCAATTGCTCAAGTTGCAATTTTTTTTTTTTTTTTTTTGGGAATGGCAAGATAATCAATTATTGCATAGACATATCTTTGTCATTTACAAAAAACTCTGAGACGAATCATGCTGACAGTACAGCGTTTAACACCATTGTGGTTTTGATGCTCAAAGTACATGAAGAACAGTGATGCTAAAGCTGGCTGAGCAACATAAATTGAATTAACTCAAATGCTAAAGACCTATTTTAACATTAGTGGGTAAAACATACTAATACAGCTTGTTTAATTGTCATTTTGACAAGAAGTCTTACTTTGTCAACAAAAAAAAAATCTATTCTCTGGATGTTCTTGCTAATAATCATGACACATATGTACTATATGCATATCCATTTATTGAAAACTTTAGAAAACAAAGTAACAAAAGAGTGTTCGTGGGTCCCGACTCATTCAGAATATTTGAACAGGTGCAAATTTACCGCATTTGTGATCATTTTAAGCATGTCAATAAATGCATCTCAATCTAAATCCTGGTCAATAGTATTAATACACACAGTGGTGCACCTCTCCAATTTGGTTCACAGTTAAAATATCAGGGCACATACATTATGGATTGAAGCACCTAATGATATTTTAAAATCATACTCGTCAGACAGGGTCCAAGTGCCACAAAGGCATTGGAAAAAGTGGTGAATAAATATGACAAGTTACAGCACGTGGCAATGAAACTGTTGGGTCACAGCACACTCTGAAGAGATGGAAGCAATATGGACATAAAATTAAAAAAGAAAAAAAGTGTGCTGGTGTGCTTCAGTACATTCCAAGTTCTCTGACCACATGGTCCATGGTACAGCAAGTCGAGTTAGTCGGCAGGATCAAATCATGTTGTTTCTTTCCCCAGGGTCTGAAAATTAAACCATAATTATGAGATTAAAATTCAGCCACATTGGCAGATTCAATTATTCTATTCTAAACGTATAACACAGCTTTTATGAATCTAATAATGTCTTTATTAGACTCACCCCGGTGTTAGGTTCATGTCAGTTTCTTGTGTCTTTTAAGCTTGAACATCTGCCAGCTCAGGAGGCATAGGAGACTTTGGGTGCTTGCTTTCAAAATGCTGTTTAAATGTCTTGGGATCTGGCATCTGTGTCTATACAATTGGGAATAAGCACATGTCTCAGCAAGGATGTGACGGGTTGGGGTACAGTGGCTTAAACTAGCAACATTTCACACATATTGCAAGTCACTCACCCTGCAGACAGGACATGTGTGGACCAGTGCTGCTTTGGCTGCAGTCTTCTGATCCGCACCTTGGCCTTTCTTCTTCTCTGCTGCTTTCTTTGCGTTCTTCTGTTGAGACTGGATCTTCTGCTGCCCTCGAGCCATGGCCTTCTCTAAAAACACACATTAGGTATAATGTACTTAAGTACAGATGTAATGCGGACATATCAGACACCTTTCCCTCCATACAAAGAAAGTAAATGGTGAATGAGACTGATGAGACCCAACATGCAAGTTAGTTGAGCAAACGTTGAGAACATTTTAATTTGGTAGGCGAATTTTCCCTTTAAAATATGCTTAAAAAAGACATACATTACATTTGCAGCAGTGAGTTGACGTTAAATGGGATAATCTGGTTTAGGAGTTTATTAGAACATACATTTTATATGTCGCCACACGTATTAATAATCAATGTAAATAAATCCTTCAGGAATGTATAAATGACGTTGTTTTTTTCCCTATGAAGTATAACGCTGGTTTAAAAAAAAAAAAAAAACTAAATTAGGGGAGAGACCGCGAAATCACATTAGCGTGTAACTTGCGTTAGCTCATCCGCCTTCTTTGAAACTGATCTAAGCCGCATAGTTGCAATGTACAAAACGATTGAATTAAAAATAACATCACCATAAACCTCAAACGTATGTAAAGACAACAAAATGGGACTTATAAGATGAGATATGGCAGATTGATCAATATTTAAAGACAATACCTCGGCGTTGAGACACGGTAGGAAGTCAAGCTCCACTGCTGACGCGTTTAATAGCTTCCGTCAGAGGCACTTACATAATAAAAGTACTCCAACTGTCGGGGATGAAATAGATTATCCTCAGTATGGTATGCTCAACTTTATATTTACTTTGTTACATTTTTTAATTGTGTGCCTGAGTTATATTCGTTGTTATTTTCAAGCGAAAATAGCAGTGCGAGGCTAAATGTTGTGTGTGGCTGAAACGAAGCATTCTGAATCTGCAAATCAAAGTAATCACTGATTCAAATGTTTCGAACAGGTTGTACGCGTGATAGTGAAATAGCAATATCTTTTTTTAACAATGAAAATTCAAAGGCTATAATAGCGTATTATTTATAAAAAATCAAATACGAAAAAGAAACCATGAAAAAAAAGTTGCGTCTCTATAAATAAGTAAAGTACATTTGGTGATTTAGCAATGGACAAACTCAATTAAAATAATGCTTTGGGAATTACCGTCATTTAAATATTTTTTACAAGACAGTTTACGATATGTCTTTACACATTTCTGAATATTTGAAGAATGTGTAGATCTAATATAATAATATATGACAAATGCTGGTTTTAAATAAAGTTTGTGCATGCAAAAACTATAGTCTTGTTTTATGTTTTGCGTGATTTTATTCATCCGAAACGTACGAACCGACATTTGTCTGTAAAACACAATAAGTGGTCGGTTTTTATCATGGTTTTTATTCAGTTTAATTGCACACGCTCAAAGACTTTTATCTTGAAATGTGTATTTGCAAACATTTCGCGGAAGTTGTTTTGCGTTATTTCCGTAGCAAAAGACAAAAATGGCAGATCGAGGATACAGTTTTTCTCTCACAACTTTTAGGTAATAATGTATTTTATAGATTTATATGTGACTATATTTTTTCATTATACACATATTTTTGCAAGCATTCAAAGGAAATAATTGTGTTTTTTTTCCCAACATGTGCTTAAAATGTACTTAACCGTGAGTCACATCGGAGTTGCACTGTCACGGTGTTAACTTAGTTATTATCAGATATGAAACTTTATGACTTCTATTCATTTTTCAGTGTCAGTGTTGGTTAGTTCTTACCCAAGTTATGTAGGCCTTACGTTATTAATTTGTTTAGTGTTTTATCACAGTTATTTTTACTGCACATTCTGTTGGCTAAGAATATTATCTTGTTAATCTGTTAATCTTTTAACAGACAGGCAATTTAAAAAGTATGTTCAAGTTGGCACAAAGCAAGTTACTATGACGGTTTTGTTAACTTTTTATAATCTTATAGTTAAAAAAAAAATCAGTTCAGAATCACCATGAAGTAACATTGATTACAGTCTTGATTATAGATATGTATTTGTCAAAAAAATGTTGTTTGTTTGTTTCAGTTTAGATACGTTTCAGAGTCATTTCTCTCATGTATTTTTTTAATTATTATCAACACAGCCCCTCTGGCAAACTGGTGCAGATTGAATATGCTCTGTCCGCTGTAGCAGCTGGTGCTCCATCAGTAGGAATCAAAGGTATGTCTGTGTAGATCAGTGCATCACAAACTTCACAAACCATGTTCAAATCAGAACAAATTTGCACCACATAATCAAACCATCCATTGAGTTTCTGAGTGTAAACTGAGTGCTGTTTCCAGTATTTAAGTCGAAAGCAGATCCTCTTAAAGCTCGTCTTCATGAAATCATGCTTCCATTTCTTGCATTTTATTTAAGCATAGAGAGTTATATTAAAACTGTATATAGACCAGCAACTGGAAAACTAGTCTATTGCTAAAGTTACAAAGCAAACAAGAGGCCTTTACACAACAAAAACAACTGTATACTTTGACACTAGGAGCTGAGGTGGGTCAGACTCTGAGCTGGCATGATTTTTTTCTGGCTTTAATATTTGAATTTCTTTACATTGAATTTGGAGAATGTAATCAAATTTGAATTGACCCTATTGACATTGTTAGCAGACATTACTGGTCTTTGGGTGAACAATTAATCTCTGCAAGTTAATACACAGAAAAAACAGAAGTTTCTTGTGGTAAATCTTTAATCAAAATCTGAAAGGTTACTTCCGGTCTGGAATGGCGTTGCTTTGCCGATGACGTCAGTCTGGTTGAAAACACTTATCCTGTCCCCTCCAACCCTGCCCTCTATTCAACATTTTACTTGTATATACCTCACAGCACTGAAATAAAATCAGGTGCTACTTCCAGTTCATGGGTGGACATTCATTTGGCTGTGTAGAGACTCCTTATGTTCTTTATTAAGGGTTTAAAATTCTGTTTAAGACCTAGGCTACATTTGTTTATCCATGCTTATTGTGTAAAGTTTTTTTTTTTTTTTTTTTTTTTTTTGCAGCATCAAATGGAGTTGTGCTGGCAACTGAGAAGAAACAGAAGTCCATATTGTACGATGAACAGAGCGTGCACAAAGTTGAACCAATAACCAAACACATCGGCATAGTGTACAGTGGAATGGGTCCTGACTACAGGTATTAAAAAAGTGCATTATTTATAATGAATGGTTGCTTTGTTCTAAAAATAAAAAGCTTTTAAAATGAGCCCTTCTTGGGTGTTAAGTTGGAACATTAACAGCTGAAGATGTAAGGAATGATCTCTCTTGACAGGGTGCTGGTCAGAAGAGCAAGAAAGCTGGCACAGCAGTATTTCCTGGTATACCAAGAGCCAATCCCCACAGGCCAGCTAGTACAGAGAGTGGCTTCTGTTATGCAAGAATACACACAGTCAGGGTATGTTACTTCTTTACATCTTTTATTATCATCCTAGACTTGAATTAGAGCTCTTGTAGTCATTTAAGTGTCATGTCTTATAGAGGAGTGCGCCCGTTTGGAGTCTCTCTTCTCATTGCCGGTTGGGACGAGGACCGGCCATACTTGTTTCAGTCAGACCCATCGGTACAACAAATAAATAGCAATCAAAACATTCTCATTACTGTTTGTTTATTCTTTTCATCATATTAACATCTCTCCATCGTGATATCCAACAGGGAGCATACTTCGCCTGGAAAGCCACAGCAATGGGAAAGAACTATGTGAATGGAAAAACATTCCTTGAAAAAAGGTATTAAAATCACCAACATGTTGGCGGGTTGAATTATTGTAATCTATTGATTTTCCATAAGGTACAAAAATAGGGAAATGATTTTGCACATTTTTGACAGCATAACTTTGTATCATTTTATTACAGATATAATGAAGATCTGGAACTTGAAGATGCTATACACACCGCCATCTTAACTTTAAAGGTGAACTCATCTCTAAATAACTATTAAAGGGTTAGATCACCCAAAAATTAAAATTCTGTCACTCTCATGTCATTCCCAACCCACAAGACTTTCAAAAAGTTCATAAATACTGTAAAACTAATCCATATGAATCATGGTCGCTTGATATGTGAGAACCAATCAGGTTCATTCTTGTGTTATGCAACACATTTGAGCCTCCGCAAGAACCAATGAGGTTTGTTCTTATGCGTCAAGCTGATTCAGTTAAGCCTCTGTTTATGTTTGCTGATCATATGTGAATAAAAGCCTAAATTCAATCTGTCCATAATATAAAACGATTGAGACTCTTTAGAAAATTTGGACTGAACAGCTTAATTGATAAGGATTGATTTTACGATCTCTTTATGAACTTCTTGAAGCGTCAAAGGGGTAGTTGCGTAGCTGTCAAGAAATATCTCAGATTTAATAAAAAGATTTTCATTTGTGTTGTGAAGATTAAAGTCTTACTGGTTTGGATGACGTGAGGGTGAGTAATTAATGACTGTGAACATTACCTTTAACTTCCTATATCAGATTGCTTAATACAGCGTTTTCTTTTTCCTACAGGAAAGTTTTGAAGGACAGATGACAGAGGAAAATATTGAGGTGGGCATCTGTAATGAAGCAGGATTTCGCAGACTGACACCTGCTGAGGTGAAAGATTACCTGGCAGCAATTGTTTAAAAACTACAGCACTACAACTGCTTACAGTTTACCATTTCAGTTTGGTTGTTTGTTTAAATGCTGAATTTTTATTATTTGTACAACTGTTTAACTGATTTCTTTATAAAAGTATGAAAATTATCAACTAATATTTCATCCCGTTCATTTTACTATGACTGTCCTTTGGGAGTTTACAACCTGACTGCAATTATGAATTACAATGTAAGGTGAGAGATCTGAATTGTTCTATATATATATATATATATATATATATATATAAAAAACAAGTTTGACAGGCAATAAATATGTAGGCTATTTTGTGGCCTGCTTAGTCACAGTACTGCCCATGCTAATGGGATCTTTCCCTGAGGGTCTGTTTATGTACATTTCTCAACATAATAGTGTTGAAAAATCTTTACTTCGTCCCAAAGCGTTGAACAAAATCTGAAAGATTGTAAACCTCTCCATATCCCACACGGGCATCCATGCAGATGAAGTCGTCAAGATTCATTTTAGTGTCTGTGAAAATGAAATACTGTGTATGAGGAAAAAGAAACCAAATGATATTGCATCAAATAATTTTACAACTTACCTGATGTTTCTAAACAAGGATATGCTGGAGGTGGCATACGCCAGTTCCCGTCAGAATCCTTCATATGTGAACGATCAGAAGCAAACTTTTCCAAGTAGGTGTCCCCTGATATTACACGAAGTTTCCTAAAACACAGTAGGCAATCACAGTTGACTGCATTAGACTGAGGTTGGTATGGTATAAACGTTTTGTGAAATGCAGTTCAGATCAGATGCTTATTAGCTGACCTCCAGAAAGCTTGTTTCAAATGCTCGTCAGAATGAAAAGCCTCCTTCGAATATACATCAAGTGAACAAGGGAAGGGAAGGACGGTGTCTAGATCATATATAAAGCTCTGTCCTTGTTTATTTGTGTGTAGAAGAATAACATGGTAATCCTAAAGGCAAAGAAATCTTGCATTAGTACAAGGTGAAAAATTAAGTATTTTCCTTATTGAAAAAAATGTCTTACCCAGAATACTGGTTCATCACCTCGACTGGATTTTTGTTTCCAAATGGGTATCTGCAAATTTCATATATATAAAAACTGTACACTACAAACATAGTAATTAAATTTGCGTATAGACAGAGAGTAAAAAAGCCTCACCATTTTTCTTTCGTTAGATATAAAGACTGCATACACCTCATCCAATGGGCACGTCCCCTGATCCTTGACATATTCGCACAATTTCCACACATTCTCCTCACTGCAGAGACAAAAAATGCTGTGTATTTAATAAGAAATGTTGCTACTGGTGTTATTTCGTCACACTTACCAGTAACAGCTGGTGTATACACATCGGTTTCTAGATGGGGTGATAATTTTACACTCAGACGGAGAGCTTTCTTCATTCATTCTTCCCATCCACATGTTACTACGAGGTATTTAACTATAACCACATTTCGAGGGGAAAAATATAAGCAAAATATAAGATTAGAATACAGCGGTTTACGTTGCCCCTGTGCACCAACGATAGTATGTTGCAGTTTATTTTGTCCGTAAGGATCTTTAGGCAGATGTTGTCGTTCCGGCGTGTCAATGCGCGAACATTCAATCCTCATGTGAATTGCAAATGTGATGTTCACGATTATCACTATAATTGTTGAACGCCTTTGCTAACTAAATTGCACAATTTGAAAACCCGTTAGCGAGAGATAATGTGCAATTAAACACCTCTCTCAAATACATAAATATTCTATGGCTATTTTGTTTGTTTTTGTTTTCATTTGTGCCATGACATGTCTGTTAATTTGTAAAGTATTTACATTTACCCAACTTAATTACCTTCTTAAGTTCACATTTTCAGCCACAAAGTGAATTTATTTTATTATTCATCTGTGTTAAGGTACACCACTGTTCAAAAGCATGGGGTAAGGTCAGTAAGAATACTTTAATTAATCACAAATCTATTAAATTAATCAAAACTGACAATAAAGTCATGAAATGGTGCTGTCAAATAGATTAATCGCATCTAACATGAAAGTTTGTGTTTATATAGGCCTACATGCATACATGTAGGCTACACATTAAACAAATTATCAACAGCATCAATGTTGAAGTTGTGCAGCTTAATATTTTATAATCTTAATAAGTGTGATACAATTTTCAGGATTCATGATGAATATAAAGTTCAAAAGAACAGCGTTTACGGCTACAAAATAAAAGTTTGTTTATTTAATATATGTTTGTATATAAACAAAAACCCTTGGCCTATGTTTTATTAATCGCAATTAATCTATTTGACAGGACTAGCCTAAACCCTGTTCTTTTGAACTTTATCATGATAATGTTCATGAATGCTTTATCATGAATCCTGAATATGTTATCACACGTTACACAAAAATATTAAGCTTCACAACATTGATGCTAATAAAAAATGTTTCTTACACAACACATTACTGTAGGCTATATATAATAAAATAAATGCAACATTGGTGGGCACAAGAGACTTTTGAACGGTATGTACAGCATGTTAAAACACTGAGCAACAACCAGTTCAAATTAGGTCTACAAGCCTAACCCTGTGGTTATGACTGAAATTTTCAAGACAAAGCTTATATTTCTAGCAACTCCCTTTGTTATAATCTTATATAATATATTATAATTGTTATAATAAGTCATAATCTATTTTCTTTATTTCAAATATGCTTTAATAAATTAACTTAATAAATGATGCCTGTACCATAAGTTAAGTCTAAGTAAAGCAAACATTTTGTAATAGGCTCCAGCCTTTTAGTGTAAAGAATTAACTTACCATACTGAATTAAATAGGCTACTGTATTTAATTTGGGGGAACAAATATAATCCGCCTTTATTTATACAGTAACATTTAGGCCTATTATTTGCACCGTGGGTGGCTAGGCTATACTTCATTTGTCCAAAACAAACAAGAGGCATAACATTAAAATAGGCCCACTGTTTTAGACTGCTATTTCTTAAAATCAAAGTAAATCAACAATTGACCTCATTCTTGTTGCAAGTAGCCTAACTGTCAATGCATATTGATATTTTAGAGGAATATAGCTTAAGAGAACGCCCGGCCATTAACACTTCTTTTTTTATGAACAGTAGTTAGGCCTAATGGAATGCAACACCTAGACCAATTGAAAGCTACAGGCTGGATATAAATGGAGGCTGGTCTTCTCAGTGTTCAGTGAGAGTTTGGACCAGGAGCTCATCATGATGACTGACGGAGGATTCAATGTTTTGCTGCCCCGATCAAGCGTCGTTCCGAGGAAGAAGTGCAAAAAATACTCTACAGGAACATACATCGGACTTATTGCATATGCAATTCAAGATTCACCGGACAAGATGCTTACTTTCAAACAGGTGGGCTAGTCTAAAAATAAATCACGAATTATCGAAATAGCCCTATAAGATTTAATGTTGTCTTCCATTTCTATGAAGTAGGCTAACAATATACCTTATTTTGTGCAGATAATGAAGAAGCTGGAACCATTTGTCTTCGGGGACAAAAAAGGCATTGAGAACAACATCAGAGTCTGTCTGTCATCAAACAGGTGTTTTGCAAAGGTGCGTAACTTATTAGGGTATTTTAAGTCTAGTTATTTTGAAGCATCAAATCACACAGCATTTGTGCATTTTGTATATCCGAAACAATTTTTTCAATTTTGTGCGTTATTTTAGGTACCAGTCGATCCGGATTATCCGAATCCTAAAAAGAACTTTTGGAAAGTGGATGAGAGTGGCATTACTCCAAAAATGTTTCGCCGACATTTCAAATACATAATGAACGTGTTTCCTGGCCAGTGTGAAGAAGATCATTCTCACGCTCCCGAGCCTCTCATGCCAGTCTGCACAGTCGCGGAAAACAAACGCGAAGTCAAATTCACAGGCCCATTTTCCATAGAATCAATATTAAAGAGCGACCGTGAAGTGAAGCGCATGCGCAGCACACGTTTGGAGGAATCTCCACGCTATGTTGACGCACAATGTGGAGCGACCAAGAGAAACAACTTTAATGAATATGACTTAGTTGACTGTTATTACCCTGTTTCAGCGGTGGGATGTCAATTGGTCTCAGCAAAAAGACCTCGTGTGTCCCCAGGACCTCCGTTTGGACTATCTTTGCCTCCACAGCTCCCATACGGTCACCCCGGTCTCCTCCGATCTCCTTTAATGTTTAATACTAGATATGTCAGCTGGTGAACATCCAGAGAGTGACCAAATGTAAATGTCCTGAAATTGCACTTTATTTTTGTTGTTAACCTTTTCTTTCTTTTTTTTTTCTTTTAATAAAAACCGCGTTCTTTGCATTTGATTTTGGTTTGATTCTGAATAGCAATGCTATTAGTAATATTAGTTGTGCATTTATATAGCTACCATAATAGCCCTAATACTGTATACTTTAAAGTTTATTTGTAGTGTAACCTATTTATAATAGATTATTATATTAGGCTAAATCTGTATGATAAAGTCTGTAACCTCATAAACAAAAATAGTAACCAGTTTCATGACTTTTTTAGGGACTACAAAAAAATGTTAACGTTTAAAATTTACAAAAAAGCTAATTTTATTACATATTTACACTTTATACATACACTTTTTTTTTCAGTAGACTATATTTGTTAGGCTGATGAACCTAAACATTTAAAAAAAAGTGAGATCTTAGAATACAAGACTATCAGATAGCCTACATTACCATTCACATAATGTTTGTGCTCGCCAATCAAAACATGTCGATCAGTATGTTAATCGGTGATTAGCACATCATCCAAGATAATGTTCATTAAGTGGAGGCGATTTCCCCTCAAAACCAATAGGTTTACTCTGCGCCACAAGGTCTATTTTCGCATTTGCCACAGGGTGGCAGTAAAATGTCAATGTTAGATATTGACTAAAGAAATTAAAGAACATTGATGTTTTAATTGCTTAACTAGACATAAAACACGGGTAATAGTAATAGACAACGATAAAAATAGATCAGAAATGGACCAACAAAAACACTTTCACATTGTGAAAATATTAAATAAACGAAGGAACGATTTTTTACGGAACTTAATGTCTACAAATACATGTAAAAAAAAAATCATAAAATAACTAGGAATAATAATACTGTGTTATAGGCCTAATTATTTGTAATCTTTAACACAGCCCACATATTAAAGACTAATGTCAGTTTTGGTCTGTATAGTTTCAAAGTCAAAGGCTTTTTAAAAGTTTGTGTAATTTCCACAGAAGATAATGTATTCTGTTTCGATTTTAAGTATTGGAACAGTAACAGCAGGCAGCAGAGTAACCTGATGGCCCGAAACCTTTTTGTCCAACAATTTTGACATTAAGTTTTCACTATTCCCAATAGCACCACGATTCTTTAACCATTATCCACCCACACCACTGAAGAACACTGATTGCTATATGATCGACTTAAATATTTCTGTCCTAATATTTCTGCATGTTCAAACCTGGTGTCAGCATTTGGACTGACAGCTGACCATGCAAAGATAAGGGATGGCAAATATACCACAGACTAAACCTTAAACAGACTAAAATGTTTGTCTTGTCTTAAAATAGATGTTCATCTTGATGCTCTTTCCCCTCTTGTTTGGTTTTACAACACTGTAAAAATTATATGATCAATAAATTATGATAACATATTTACATTGCTTTAACTCATCAAAAGAAGTTAAGCAATTTTATGCTATTTTTAATAAGTTATCTATTTATCAAGGTTCAACTATTTAGTTACTTTAATGTAATTTAAGTTAAAAGACATTTACAACCAAGTTGATTGTACTTGAAAATTTGTGGGGGAAAAAAAACAGTATCAGCATTTGTCTTAACTTACAGAAATTGTGTGGACAGATGGACAGAGTATTTTATTTAAAGGTATGTATTTCCTGGCCTATCCGTTTAGGCACTTTGGGTGGATGAGTGTGAAGAAGATTATTCATGCTCCTGAGCCATTCCAGTCTGTGAGTAAAGTATTTTTGAAACTAATGATACATAGTTATGCTGTCTCTCTGTGCCCATGTGTTGATGTTGACTGTCCTAACGAAAGCTACCCATTGTCTCATATAAATAAGTGAGTGCACGTGTCTGTGTTGTTTTGGTGAATGTAGGTTTTAACAGGCATAGAAAATTCTTTCTGTATACCTTCATCATGATAGTGGTGCTCATACAGTAGTAGCATAGACAGATCTCTATAGAGATAATAGCACTTTTAAGGTGTTATCAGTCTTATTCTCTATATTCACAGTCCTGTTGGAGAACTGTTACATAAAGAAAAAAAAGGATACATTAAGGTGAGATTTCTTTAATTATTGCGTAATACTTACATATTTATCTGTTTTATAGTGATAAGGAATGTTTACAAGCTTTTAATTTATACAATTTTGTCAAAAATTAAGTATAAAAAATAATTAAAGACAAAATCACTTAGAACTAAATTCTTAAAAAAAGATTCCATGATGGGAAGAATTATGAATGTGTAAAAAGCTTCTAAGCCCCTGTAATGCCTGTTCAAACCAAGGATGATAACTAGGCCTATAACGATAACAATAAAGATGAAGTTCTAAAAATCGATTTATATGAAATTAAAGCAGAGTCCATGCCACAAACTATGGACGCTAATATACATATTTTGTATCATTCTTTGTGTGAACGTGCCGATACCTCAACCATACGTCTGGCTGATTTTATGTTTTATAATTTATTTTGTAATATTGTGTGTGCATAGGTGTGTGGACACAATGGCAGCATTTCAATCTCATGTGAAATGATATATACGATATGCAAATGAATGCTGTTTAAGGCAGTGGTTCTCAGAAATTAAAGGCCCTTCAGTAGGCCTATCTACATCATTCCATATTTACATTGCAAATTCAATATTAGAATTGAAAACGTACAGATTTATAAGCTAATAGTGTAGACACATTTAATAGTAAATATTAATACTAGATCATATTTTATAATTTGCTTTGGTACCACGACAAGTGAAAAGTCAGTTTAGCAATTTTGCAAACCTGCGTACAAGCTTATGACGCTTAAATGGGCTTTTAAACATAGGCCTCAGTAATAAGTAAACAGTCCATTCAGGACAAAGTAAAGTTCAGTTAACATTTAACAGCCAGTACAGTCTTACTCCACGGCTAGAGACAGAGTTAAGATGATAAAAACTTCCTTAGCCCCGCCTATCAGAGACGCACCAGTCACGTCGGCCACGTCTGCACTGAGTAGGCTACGTGAGGTCATGCGCGTTTGACACACCTACAGTGTTTAGTAGGCCTAATGCAGGTGATTATACAGCGCCGAGGGCCGAGTGAGCACTAGTGTGATACTTTTAGTCACTACAGCGTTTCTCTCATGGGTGGACCAGGGCTTTACATAATTCATGATTTATGAAATCTAGTAGTCTGACTGTCTACATAGGACAGATTATTACATTTGTGTTCCCCATATATTTTAAAGCGTCCTGACCTTTCATTAGGAAATAAGTTAACTTGGGTTTATGATCATGCGACCATGTGCCTTTGTTTTGATGCTGTGAGCATGTTGTGTGGACCGGAGAGGAAAGTCCTATGACTGGCTATAAGGTCAAAAGGTGGATAAAATGATTAACAGAGAGATCGCACTAGCAAGGCACCTGTGTCCATAATCTACCTCAGCAATGGAGTAATTATTACCACTGCCTTTGGCTCCAGTTTACTGAAAAATCAGAGGGCAAGTAATTTTCTTCATTGAGTACTTATTTCACTTTATTTGCTCAACCTGCAAGGGATACTCTCCTTCAGAAACATCTCATTTGTATTTCTCAGCACTATGCGATGAAACTTCCATTAGATTTCCTGAGAATTCCAATTTTTTTAAGCTGTGGCAGATGAACCGGAAGGTGAATTTTTGAACTGTCTTTATTTCTCCAGGAATTCCAAACCCAGTTTTCCTGTTTAGTAAAATCAATACCGTGTCCCTCCTGTGGTGCAGCAGTCATGTTTGGCCTCAACAGTTTCCCCATCCAACCTAAAATACATGGAAATATAACAGGTATACTAGATTTATGTATGTTGCCGATTCATGCATGACACATAATTATCACCGTTCTAGACTGTTGTGTTGCAGTCAAGCAATGTTTAAAACCTAAAGATTTAGCTTGGACAACTTGGATGGATGCTGGTTACCTTGTAGTGTCGCCTTTGGCAAGTTGTTCGTGAATAAGTTTAGGGCCTGTTTTAAAGGTTATTTTCATGGAAAACAAAACAATGTCAGGTCAGAGCAATTTTCCCCTTCAGTAATCCATTGCATCTTATCAGCAAAGGCAATGACCTGTAGCAAGAATGCTACCATGTTGCCAGGTCAGAGTAAAGTGGACATGGTGGAGAGGGAGTTTTCATGTAGGTGATCCCATGCACCCAGGCTCTTCTACAATAACACATGTGAAATCAATCCACTTTCACCTACTGGTGAAGATAAAGCTGTGAAAATAATTCAAGCAGGTTTATTTTGCCGGAGAACAGCCCAGGGTGTGTCTGGACAAAACTGCTGTGAGAAACCAAGCAACAATTTGTAATTCACATTAGAGTCAGTAGTCAGAAAGTATACATCTACACTAAATATTTCTTTCTTATTATGCCCTTGAATTTATGGCTGTAGTTATTGAGTAACTTTATCATAAGCATCAAAGTGAATTGAGTAGTAAAGTGCCTTTTTGACCACTGATAATGGAGATACACTGATTGAAGATCAGATACAGTCTCTGTTAGAAATGACCTTTAAAAATATGATGCCTGTTCCAGTGGCACCAATGAACTACTAGCAAGCACTTCCTCACAGCTGAGACATGATGAAGATTAAGACTTTTAGTAATTGTGTGAGTGTGTCTTTTGCATGGTTGCTCGTTTATATTGTCTGTTTATGAGCTGCTGTTTGTGCTGTTCCACAACACACGTTAATATACAATCCATAATACTTTGATCGCACATGGAAGAGTTGGTGTTGGCACCTCATTGGCTAGTTTATCATTTATTAACTACTTCATGACCTAATTTTGAAACTTGTTTATTTCATCAAACCATAATTTTGAAGATTTATCCACTCTTTAATGCTTACATACTATATGAAATACTATAGAATATAATAAACTGCTTTAACACTTCCATAATACACTGTAAATAGTGTTTATGTTCATTGTGTAACTTTAAGACATCCTATTGTCATCTTTGGTAAATCAGTAATACGAGACATTGAACTGAGTAGCACCCGCTCTGAGGAACTACGCGATTGGTTGAGGTGTACATTGCAGCCTGCTGTCTCATGTCATGCGTGTCTGAATCATGGCTTAGTATGATTCATACTACATCTGACTACTGTTATTGCATCACATACTACATCTGCACTGAAGCAGTTTAATGCAGTTTAAAGTCAGCGTGAAACATAAGTTGCAATAGTCTTTTCCCCTCTATTGTGACTTATACTAATCAGAGTGAAACCAATGTAGGGTGGGACTTGATTGGAATGATTGGATGGTGGTTTAATATTGCTGTTTGAGTGACAGAGTAACACGTCATCAGAGAAGAGAGGAGATATACTATTATTATTTTGATTAAAGGAGTGCATTCTGCAATATTTCATAAAAACATGAGAAATGTCCCATTTTACTTTCATGGTGACTTCAAGATGATTGATACTACGTATGCTAAATCCTTTGTTTGAAACAGGAGCACTATATTATTATTTTTTAATAGTGTAAAATAATGCCTTAAAGGGGAATGGTTTTGTTGGTGAACAATTAGACAAGTCAGCAAGGATAGCAAGAAGAAAGCAAGATAGTCAGTCATCATTTCTACTTCAAACTTGCCCCCATTGACCTTTCATTACCTGAAATGAAGGCATGTGGACCTTTAATACTGTTATATAGTGATCCAGTACACTGCAATGTTCATTTGGATCATGTGGGCATTTCTGTGTGGTTTAAATGATAACATAATGAATGTTTTGTCCTGTTGTAGGATGGCCATAGCAAAAAACGGCCTTTGGTTTTGAACCTCCTTTTATTCCTCTGATTCGTCTGATGCCAAGATCCCGTAGGACGAGAGAGGTCAGTGTTTTATCTGTTCTATACGAGGAATCCAATGACCTCCATGTTGTGCAAACCAGATACGAGTTGTTCAAGATGAATCCTGTTCTGTATTCCAAGTGTAAGGACATGAATGAAGGCCAATGTCATGAACCCAGATTTTGTGAAAACTAATGATAACGGAATTGATTTCCTTTAGATTGTGTGCTAAAATATTTCATTTAGAATGGCTGAAAGCTTAGTCAACCTCTAACTTGTAGCTCTATGATGTTATTAGTAGGCCTACTGTAGGAATCAAGTTTTTATAAATATATAAATGGAGATGTTAGGTGGATGATTAAAAATGAGTGTAGCACCAGACTGCATGAGAAACTCTGTTCTGAGTACACAGAGATATGAACCTCTCAGGTAAAAGTCCACAAACCTTATCAGTTATTATTCTCTTTAACCCAGGTTAGAACCCGGAGCAGCCAACTCTTTGATGCAATATGTATTTGCCTATAAATCTTAAAATCATAAAAGTTTATCTGGTTAACAATGGTTTCAGTATTTTTCCACAACACAATATGACCTGGCCCATTGCCTGCTTTATATACTATATCTGTGATCTCCTGAGAGTTTTGATTTATGAAAAGTCTCTCATGCTGAACATTTACTTTTAACTTTAATTCAGTTTGTGGTGTAAATTGTGCTTGAGAGTTGATCAGCATATTGGTAGTTCCTGAGCAATGTGTCCATTGTGAATGTGCTTGTTATCACTGCCTCAAATAAGCTAAACACAGTGAAAGCATTGTGTTGTTAGAGAGGACACACACGCATACAGCATGCACTCCGAACAATAGGCTACTTTATTGATGCAAACTAATAATCAGTTTTGAAAGTATTCTGTATTCTTTATATGCAATTAGTATTAATCTTGCATGGAGAGAAAAATAATTTTAGAATGTGAAAGACCAGTCCTTAGACATTTTCCACAGTCATCATATCTCACGCAATGCTGTGAAAGAAGGCATGACTCAATGAAGTTACCCAATAGAAGGAGGAGTGGGCAGGACTGACTAAACACACATCTTTATAATTGCTTGCCTTCCACTACATCCTGTCGCGAGCAGCACGTAGCCAGTTGTCACCCTCCAAATCAGAAAAAAACTTTTGTTGGACTTCTTGTTTTTATTCTTGGGACAATTAACCGGTAAGTCATAAAAAGAGCTATATCATAATTTTTTATGTTACAATATTGGCAGTTTCTTTATCTAATAAAGCAGACCGTGTGTAAAACATCTCTGACGTGATATCGAACAAGATATGTATTTGTCAGCTTTAAAAAATATACCCGGTTTAAACAGTAACAATAACAGCAATAATAAACAGTATAAAGTATCTTATAATTGTACAGCGAAACCACAATTATTTATTTATTTATTTTAATTTTTTTGTTGTTGGTGTTTATCATTCCGCGCGTGCGTGATTGGCTGCACGTGCAAATGTCAACAAGTGTGAGCTCGAGTGGTAAAATGAATATGAGATGTACGATATCTACTAACATTAGTTTTCACCTCACTGCACATTTTGTATATCTCTCCGTTCATATGTCTAACTAATATCCGGTTAACCAGAGCTCAATCCCACACTCAGTTTATGGAGCTTTCTCCTAATGACCTGAATCAGGTGTGTTGCATGCAAAATTAGCCTACAGTTACTGAGACCAGACAGGAACACCACAGAGACTATATCAGAGTCAACCCTTTATCTAGGTTTATGGGTTACATTTTATGTCACCTGACCCATCTGAATAACATATAATCTGCATGATCCGACACAATATACTAATTAACTGTTTGTATTGCTTTAGTTTTTAGTCTTAGCAGTCAAAATGCACTGTTGCTGTTAGACATTTTGTGAAATACTTATAATTTCAACGTCAATCTCACTTGTTTACTTCTTAAAGCAGATCATAAAGATTTAATAGACTACTTTGTTGCCATAGAAGTTTTAAATTTTTCTTAGGAAATGAACATAATATTAAATACAAAAAACTTGAATTATAAACAATAATATTCAATAAGGTATGAATAGAAATATAAGTGGCATGCATACTGTCTATGGTGGCATGTCATAAAGGATTTAAACACTCGGAATTTGTCCTTTGCATCTAACCTTTCAAAGTCCACCTCCTCACACAGGAACAGTGAGTTGTGATTGTGAACACACACACACTAGAAACTGTGGATGCACACACCCGGAGCAGTGGGCAGCAATTACCTGTGGCGCCTGTGGAGTGATTGTGGGTTAGGGTTGCTCAAGGTTACCTCAGTCGTGGGCATTGAGCGTAGAACCTACATTTTTCGAGTCCTACTCTCTACCCATTAAGCCACAACTGGCCCTTAAAATAATGATTTGCACAAAAGCAAAGCAGAGCCACCTCTGATACTAGGGCTGAGGTGCATCAGAGCTGTGTTTTTTTTTGTTGTTGTTGTTTTTTTAAGAATTATTCGTCTAGCCTCTGAGCAGGCTGTATATGGACACCTTTACTGATGTCAATAATGACTTGAAGGATAATGTATAAAATATGTATATCGATTTTATAGTTATGCATACGTGGCTGTAAAGATCAGAGATTACTGTCTGTTTGTGTTTTAGGTCAACAAGTGTTATTGCTTAAATGTGAGAAGAAATTTTGTAAGAATGCAGCACCCCTGCAGTCATCGATCTTCAAAATCTCTCACAAATAAGAATATAGGTCTACAACAGATGCTTAATTCCAGATTTAACTCAAGGCTTCCAGATTTAGATCAATTGTGGATTTTAAGATTCCCAAAAATTAGGGAAGCAGTCATTGTTTCTGCAGATGGGCTTAAAGGAGTAGTTCACTTTAAAAAAAACTTCAATCCAAAAATGTCATCCAAGATGTCCATGTCTTTCTTTCTTCAGTCGAAAAGAAATAAGGTTTTTGATGAAAACATTCCAGGATTTTCTCCATATAATGGACTTCATTGGGAACCAAACGGTTCAAGGTCCAAATGAGAGTTTCAGTGCAGCTACGACACCAGACGATGAATAAGGGTCTTATCTAGTGAAACGATCGATCATTTCAAAAATAAATAAAGTAAGTTTTATTAGCACAAATGCTCGCCTTGCTCTGTTCTTTGAGCGTTTATGACTCTCCTGATCAAACTCGTTCATCAAAACGAACAAATCTTTTTTTCGAGTCATGACTCGAAGGGTCCTACAGTAGATAAGACTCTTATTCATCGTCTGGTGTCGTTTAAAGCCCTTTGAAGCTGCACTGAATCTCTCATTTGGACCTTGAACTGTTTGGTTCCCAATGAAGTCCATTATATGGAGAAAATCCTGAAATGTTTTCATCAAAAACCTTCATTTATTTTCGACTGAAGAAAGAAAGACGTGGACATCTTGAGTGACATGGGGGTGAGTAAATTATCAGCAAAAGTTTTTTTTGCACTTTTTCAGCAAAAGTGAACTACTCCTTTAACTCTGATGATTCTGTAACTGATTATAGTTACATTTTCAGACACAGTTATTTGAAATTTGGAAATCACTGAAAAAAAGAAGAAGAAATGGTTATGGGAAATGAAAGAAGCATTTCCCTTTCCTCTGCAAGAAATACTGGTTCTCTATGTTCCAACATAAAAATACAGAAAAGCTACAGATTTTGATGCTATATAGCAACCAAAGTTAATGAAAACAAACATGCACATTCATACAAATATAGGAATATTTAATTTAAGACATTAAGTCATGTTTACCATTGTAAACTGAAACGGAAACCTGGTCTGGAGAGATGGACAGGTGAATTGGGATTTTCTGAAGTACATTGAGGATCTGTCCTTATGTTACTGCAGTTTATATCCTGCTGAGACATTACTGCCACTGCCAGCCACTCCCAGGTAAAAGATTAGTAGAGAGGCCATAAGGGCAGGTAACTGAAAAACAAGCAGGTGACCTACTTGCCAGCGGAACCGTTACTTTTTGACTTCACTTGTATTTGATTTTGATTATATATTCAAAAATAAAAGATGAATCTCATATTCTATAGCTTGGTTAGTATTCACAAGTAATTTCAGTTCTCACATGATTCTGGTCAGGAATGTGTGTAGGGGGCTTCTGTGGAAATGATGGACTGCACAATCATGCTTTTTGAACCACAGAAATTCCTCTTGATAAACAGCTTGGCTTGGTTCCTAGAGCTCGTCTGTGAATTAGAAAATCAATTGCTGCCTCTTTTTATAGGGGCTTGGTACAGGAACACTCCTTGAACCTGTGGGATGATAAGACACAAAGGCTTTCATGCTGGTTTTGGAGCAGCTAGTGTTTAAGGGGTGGAGGGACTGCAGGAGCCATGGAAGCAGCTGTGTCTGTGGCTTCCTGTGTGTTGCGTCCAGACCCGCTACAGAGGAAAAGCCTGACATGTGACCTTTAGAAACCTCAGTCAGACAAAGAGCCTGTTCAAGCTCTCGTTCAATTTGCATGCGCATCAACAGTCTTTTAGGAATGCATGATCTGCATCATCCAAAACAAATTGGAAAAGCTAAGGATATAATTATATTTTTTAAAAACACGCCCAAAGAAATGTATGCGTAATGTGTGAAATGTGTCTTGCTGTAGTTAAACTCCAAAATTGCAAAAGCTGGATCTAAAACTGCAAATATAGTGATCGCATGTGTATGCATTGCACAGGAGTGGCATCCAATACATTTTCCCCAGATTAAAGTTGCAAAAAATAATGTTATGAAATGATACTAAACATAACATGATGAACAAATAAATTGTATGATTTATTATATTTTAAATTGTATATTCTTTATTCATCTTATATTACATTTACATATTTTTCACATAATATTCTTGATAGTCTATTATTATTCTTGTTGCACTGGAATGAGACACTAGGGAGGAGCTTTTCACTGCCCCATTATATTTATGTACAGTGTGTGACAAATAAAATATCCTTGAACCTTGAAAATATGAAACTGTAAATTAAGAAATAAACACTTTGTCATAAACAGTGACGATGTTTAAGGCCTTTACGCAAAACAAAAGAGAAAGGACAATTTATCACATCTTATTTCCTTGATACTCAGGATATCCACTCATAAAGTTGTTGTAAATAGCCGTTGCCAAAACTGAATTACACCAAAACAAAAACATGGAACTTGATCTTGACCTTGGAGGAAGTTAGCGGTAAATGATTTGAAGTGTTATTTGTTGTTGTTATTTGTTGTGTTAATGTCAGCTTTTTCCTACCTCTAGGTGTCTTTGTTGAGAATGGATGATATCCAGGTCATTGAGTCAAAGCCTCTGCTTGTGGACAGGGATTTGAAAGTATGGGAAACACCGTTGTCTTGGTCAAGATTTGTAATGAACGTACATATTTATGCATAAAGAAGTGAACACTTATTAACTTGCACTGTTTCTCTATTCTAGGGGTTAAGGGAGGCTGTCCAGCAGCTGGTGATTAAGGCAAGCATTTCATTTTTGGGTTTTATTTGGATGGTTTTCTGCATCTGTAACTTTGCGAACTAACTAAGGCTATATATATATATATATATATATATTAGGGCTGTCAAGCGATTAATCACATCCAAAATAAAAGTTTGTGTTTACATAATATATAATTATGTACGGTGCACTGTGTATAATTATTTTATATATATACACATACATGCTCGTATATATTTAAGAAACATTTTCATGTATATAGATTTATATATAATTAATATTTTTTTATTATTATATATTATATATTTTTTTATATATATATATTTTTATTTTTGGATGTGATTAATCGCGATTAATCATTTGACAGCCCTAATATATATATATATATATATCAGACAGACAGACTGACTATTCATAGCCTAGGTCCAACAACTTCTAGGTTTACTTTCAACAACTAGGTCACCAGGTCATTCAGACAAATAAGAAGATGCCAGACCATTCAATTCAACTCTATAACACACTAGCATTAAAATTGGAGTATTATGTTCTCGTTTACGAACCCCAGTTAAAAATCTGGCTGCAGCATTTTGAACTATTTGAAGCCGTGACCGAGGACAGGGACGTATAATAATCCAAATGAGATGAGACAAAGTATGTATAAATCTTTCGATCTTTACTCTGGACAGTAGTTTTAACTGAAAAGTGTGCCAGTCTTGACACCACAGTTCTGAGATGCATCCTTGCGTGCTGATCCTCACACAGATTAAAGTCCTGAAGTTTGGGTCATGTGTTCAATAAGAGTGTTCAGCTTCTAGATGAATGACGTGGGCTGCTGAGGGATACACCGGCCATCTGCCTGAGCCGCTCACGTAGGCCTCGTCCCGTTTAAAGAGATTAGTGCCGATAGGGAGACAACATATGTTTGTGTTCAGTCACTATACAAAGCCAAGACGTTTATGTCCTTGTCTGTGTTAAAGATGTAGCAGCTTGTGCTTCAATTTGAGGCGGCTGAAACTAGTTTCTGCAGCGTCAGCCAGTTGATCTTTGACCGGAGAACTGCACTCAAAGACTTTTCTCAATGACTCTTGCAGTGGATGGAGGTTATGTGTCATTGTTTGTCACTAGTGTTAAATTAACTTAAAAAGTTAATTTTGTTAATTGAAAGTTAAATTGAAAGTTAAAGTTCAACCCGTTGGAGATGATTTATGATTTGTTGGTTTTAGTGGTTCTGAAGCTTCCATTTTGAAACATGGGAAAACGTAAAGAAATACAGAATCTCATTGGAAATGCTTTTTTTAGTCAAGTTGTCTTTCAAATGTACTTTAGTAATTTCTGTTAGAATGGAAAAAATGAAAGAAATTTGTCAGCAGTTATTGGCCATTACCATGTCCTGAACTTATTGTCTGATTTGCTTGAAGACAACAATTATTCAATGTGAACCGCCACCCCAATCATCACATTATAGTTTTGCTCCACGTGCCCAAGTTTCCGATGGCCTAGAGTTGGCTACTCCAAGTACCTGGCACAGGCTGATCCAATTTACGGATGTCGTTAACTAGAATTAACTTGTTTTGATCTTGGTGCAAAGCATGCTGGGACCGTGGAGCTTATGTCGAGCGACAGCAACAGGGGTATAAAACCCTGCGCACAGATGAATATTAGCAAAGTGCCACAGGAGCTTACTTCCAATCGGATCTTATATTCATTCACATCACTTTTATTAATTACTGATTTACTAAGCTGGCAGCCATGGTTCTGGAAGACTCTGAAATGGAATTAGTATTCGAGATTGAAGTCGCTGTGAGTAGAAGCCTTCATCTTGCTTTTTGCTCATTTTAGGGATTTCGTTGACCATTTTTTGTTGTCTTAGTGGTTTTGACAGAAAGGAATTGTGTCAGTCATAATTGGGGTTTGATGCTTTGTGAAATCAGATGGATAGTTTTCATGGACCGTGAGCTTTACGTGCATAGAGCATTTAAAATGTTTGCAGTTGGTCTGAGGTTAACTTGCAGACGGGTTTCAACTTGTGCTTGCCCTTAAATGTTACATTAAATTGCGTGGCTACGGTCACAAAACTGAAGGGTTTTAATTACACAGAATAAACATTCACCAGTTGTCGTTGAGATATGCGCTATTGAAGTAAATTGTACCGCAGATCAGTTTAATGCTGCTTATGATTGTTCAGCAGATGCTGATAAGCATTGTATTGTCATGTAGGAACATGATGTGGAGACTCCATTTGGCAGAATCCACTGTACCATGAAAGGAGTTCCCAAGGGTGACCGGCCCGTCATTCTCACCTTCCATGATATTGGACTGAACCGTAAGCTGTTATGCTGTTAAACTGTATCTCCAGTTATAAAACTGTCCCTTAAATCTTTTTGTTTTGCTTTACAAGACATGATAATCAAGAGGTTTTTCATAAGTATATTGGCTTTAATGTATATATTATGCTTCTCCAATAGAAAAAAGCTGCTTTGAACCCTTGTTCAGCCATGAAGACATGCAAGAGATCATGCAGCACTTTGCTGTGTGTCATGTAGATGCACCAGGGCAGCAAGAGGGAGCTAACACCTTCTCAACTGGGTGAGTTATAGATTTAGACGGACAAGTGGATATCTATAAATTCATGCAGAACTATAATAATTGACTTTTGTGTGTGTGTGTGTGTGTATACAGATATGAGTACCCTTCCATGGACCAACTGTCTGAGACTCTTCCATCAATCCTTAAACATTTTGGGTGAGGTGTTTGTTTTATTATTTAACAGCTTAAGGTAGATTTAAGTTGTTGTTGTTGTTGTTTTAATCCTAAACTGATTTTCTTAAACCCCACAGACTAAAGAGTGTGATTGGCTTGGGTGTTGGAGCAGGTGCTTATATCCTTGCTAAGTTTGCTGTGAGTTTGATTTCTTTTTTGATTTTTAATAAGTGATTTCAAGATTTAATTAAACCAGGATAAAAGAGAGTTTATTTTCCTGTGGATTTTGGCATTCATTTGGCTGCTGAGGAATGTCCCAAAAATACTGCTTGACTTGAAGTTTCTTTATTTATTAAATAAGTGTTTAAACACGTTTGGATGAAATGCTGTTTTTTTTTTCAGTTGGATTACCCTGCTATGGCGGAAGGCCTTGTGCTAATAAACATCAACCCATGTGCTGAAGGCTGGATGGACTGGGCAGCACATAAAGTGAGTGCTAACCACTAAAATTCGTATTTTATATACCGTTTCAAGCTTTTGTGTGTGTTGTTTCATCGGCTCCTAATTCGCATATCTTACAGATCACTGGTTGGACTCAAGCCATGCCGGACATGCTCATCTCTCACCTGTTCGGAAAGGTAGGTCAAGTTTAATGTCAGACCCAATTTAGATAATTTTTTTTTTTAATAAATGGATTTATACTAACATGAATGGGTTTTATTATTGTTATTTTTCCAGGAAGAAATCCAACAGAACCATGATCTTATTGGCAGGTTCCGTCACCACATTGTGAATGACATGAACCAGTTCAATCTGGAACTCTTTGTCAAGTCCTACAACAGGTAAGCATAATACCAAAACTAATACGTCTTGCTAAAAAGCATGGTCCGTTGACATAATATTTAATCAACGCTTTCATCCACTTCACAGCCGCAGAGACCTGGAAATCGAGAGGCCTACACCCGGTGGCCACGTCAATGTCAGAACTCTAAAGTAAGTCTGAAACTGTTTAAAAAACGTTTAGAGAATGAAGGATTTCCTGTAGTCATGACTTTGTCACACTGTTTTTAGATGTCCTGCACTCCTGGTGGTTGGAGACAGTTCCCCTGCAGTGGATGCTGTGGTAGGTTTAAATTTATAATTCAGGACCACCTATATTTGCCAGATTTTTAAGTTTTTTTTTAATTAAAAACTGACTTTGTTAAATGTATTTAATCCTGCACACCCAGACTTCATATCTGTCGCATGCCTATTTAGTAGTTTAAAATGTATTTTTTCTGTACAGGTTGAGTGCAACACAAAGCTGGACCCGACCAGAGCCACACTGCTTAAGGTGAGTGGCCTCTAGTGAAGCTGGCAGGTATTTATAGTCCACATGGAAAAGTCGGGGCTGATAAGATTCCGATAGCTCAGCATTATCTAGTGACTAATTTACCCAGGTAGAGCAGAAGCGGTCTACACTGGCCAGCTTCTTGGCTGATTTTTTTTACCTCGGCTGACCTAATTTTCCACAGCCCACCCTCAGGTAGACTAAGAATTAGGTTTATGTCACCCAAAATGGCCTATTTATCCCCGATAAGTGCTGAGACCAGTGGAGTTAATGGAGCACTAGGTGTTTTAGACACCAGCATGAATGGCAGAAACAGAAATGAGAAACAAGCAGTGACGCATTTGTGTTTTCCCTGCATTTTAACTAACATATGGGCCTCTTCTTTCTTCAGATGTCTGACTGTGGAGGCTTGCCACAGGTCGACCAGGTGTGTATTTATAAAGTTTATGATCATTTAGATTAATTTACCAGTTTATTCAAGGTACAGGATGATGATTAGGGATGAGGCCCGCACTAATCTCATTACGGACGGCAATGGCACAGTTCTAATTCTCAGATAGCCACCTGTTGCTACCAGCTGTTAGAATCCATCCGGTTTCTCAACGTGTACTTAGTGAAATCTGTTTTCCACCTCGACCTGATTAGCTGTTTTTGTCTCATTTTATTGTCTCCTTAGCCTGGGAAGCTAACAGAGGCTTTCAAGTACTTCATTCAGGGCATGGGTTACAGTAAGTATTGTTTTTGTCTTTTTGTTCAGTATAGTCTGTTTTTTCCATACATCTGTGTCTTTATAAAAATACACGTTGCAGTGGCACACGTTATTACGTGTACAAATAACAACATAAATGACGGCGCTGTGCTGCCATCTAGAGGTGTGATTTTAAATTTCAACCTGACTTGCTCAATTTGACTTTCTTAAGTATTTTGAAAAGTTGTCTAACAATTTTGGGATCAGTAAGTTAAATTAATACTTTCATTCACCAAGGACACTGATCAAATTATAATACTGATCAAAAGTGACAGACATTTATAATGTTAAAAGGATAAAAGTTTGATTTATCAAAAAAATGCACCACAGTTTCCATAAATATTTTCACCATAAATAACGCCATAAATCTTTCTTGAGCTGCAAATCAGAAGAATCATGTGACAGTCTGTGCTGATCAATTCAGCTTTGCCATCACAGGAATAAATTACATTTTAAAATATATTAAAAAGAAAACGGCTGTAATAATATTTTACAATTGTACTGTATTTTTGTTCAAATAAATGTAGACTTTGGTGAGCATAAGAGAAATTGTTCAAAAGCATAACATATATTGCTGACCCCAAACTTTAGAACGGTAGTGTTTCTTTATATTAAACTTGGAGACATGTGATTTAACATAATGCATACATCTGATTTGTTAAGCAAATTAAAATAAACAAACTTTAAAACATGTATCCTAATCTGTCTTCCTCTGCCTCTCAGTGCCCTCAGCCAGCATGACCCGCCTGGTCCGTTCCCGCACAGCATCCGGTTCCAGCATCACCTCCTTTGATGGGAACCGCAGCAGGTCGCACACCAACGAGGGCAACCGCAGTCGCTCCCACACCAATGAAGGCCGCGCTCGAGCCCACACCTCCGAAAACCAACGTGGACGTTCACACACCGACAACATGGACAGTTCTGTGGACCAGGCTCCCAAGTCCACCGAAGTGTCCTGTTAGACTGGTGACGTTGTCTCCGGTCCATCTCACACATGCATTAACCTCTCTGTTCTGACTGTGCTGCACTGCCACTAACTACCCATGCAACAAGACTGCCACATGTTTCCCTCAGGCACCATTTTATTAGTCGGAGAGCATTTACGCCAAAGTGTCTTGTGTTTAAGACGATTTCCTGGGGAAACGCTGAGGAAGGAGTGGCTAGGATGGCAAGGGAAAGGATGGAGTTGAGTGGGGATTTTTTTTTAATCTTTTTTGCAATGGCTGTCTTGTTGTAGTTGGAGGCAATGCAGCAGAGTTATTGTGATGGTCATCATCAAAGTATACTGGGCACTGAGAAGGGCGCATGAAGAGGTCAGATGCAAAACCCTCTAAGTGCCATTTGAAATTTTCTTCTAGAATGATCATTTTTATCAAGCTTCTATATTTAAGTTCAGTGATTTCACTTAAATGGCAATGATAATTACCTATTAATTGTTATTTAAGTGAAATTACTTAACTTAAATATACAAGTTTGACAAAAATCATCATTAAAGAAGAAAATTTCAAATGGCATTTAGAGGCTTTTGCATCTGAACTCTTCACATGTTTGTAAATTTATGTTGATCTCTAGTCGGCAATTTAATTTCTTCTGTCAAGTTATTATACCACACCTTTTTCATGCTAGTTTGAGTGCATAATTAATTTGTATAATCTGTATATGTTGAAATGGACCACTGAATGGAAAAGGGATGGTTTGATCACGGAGTAGAGATGGTGTTTTTTTCATTATGCTAACCTACCTTATAAAACTAAGGTGTAAGCTCCTAATGTGTTGATTTTCATCCTGTGTGTGTTCCATTATTTTGGGTTATACTTGTAACTCATTAAATTATGCTCTTAAAAATAATTTTAAATGATTTTTATTGATCGATTGTTTTAACATTAGTTTAAATTCAACAAAACAATTTGTAGATAGAAGGATACAGGAAAATGTCTGTATATGAGTGACATTTTTGTTGTTTTTTGTATGTAATGATGATTTCTATGCAATCAAGCACAACAGAACAAAATGTGCCATGGAATCCTCTACTTGGACTGGATTTTTTTTTTCTCAAGGCGTTAAAAAAAGAAAGCAAAGGATCACACGGAGAGACGGATAAATATAAGCAACACACCTGCTCTTCCACGCACACTAAAACAAAAGCTTGCCGCTTGATAAGGCCCTTTGCTTTGTAAAGATGTAAAACAACCTGACGCACTGCATTTTTAATGGAATAACGGTTTGTATTTATTAAAAAAAGAAAATAAAAGGCTGGTTACTCAGTTTTTTGTCTGTTTATTTGATAACTCAGAACTGTGTCCATACATACAGTATAGTATATGGAAGGTCAAACTTTATAAGGCATAACTTGCTCCAAGGACAGCATCATTTAAGAGCATAAACGTGGAAAAAAGGTATGAAATTACAAAAAGCATATAGATTTCTTCTTTACATAAACTTTGCATAAATTAAGACCTCTACCTACAGAAGTCAAGAACTTGTCTTTTTTACTTACATCATTTGTACATCTGTCACAATAATAATCTTGGTTGAAATAACCTAACAAATGTGAGTAATTTACCTTTGGCTAAGCCCCGCCCCCCTTAGTTACTGTTGCTACTTCCGTCAAACTTCATCTGTGCTCTGGTTTGGTATGAACACGGTTATGCTGCGACAGCTCTTCCAGCTGAAATGTTATCAAACTTTTATAATGCAGCAAATAAAGTGTCCGATAGAAGTAGGCAAAAGGAACCTATGCGTTTGAAGGCTATTCAAGACAGACAGGCGAAACGCAAGAAACAACAAGGCATCCACATGTTAGAGGCAAAAGCATAACGTTAACGTTACCGGTCACAGTCAAAAACTGAACCACCCCAATTCCTACTAATCGAGACGGAGGCTGGGACTAACAATATCAGGGAGCAACACTGTTCATGCAAATCTGGGTAGGTCTCTATTCACTTCTATAATTGTTGTATTTATTAGCAAAGTGCTAGCGTATCAACAACCGGAATGACAACCGGAATCATAACCTAAAACATTATAAAACGGTCTACTAGTATAACGTTAACTTCACAGTAAGGTTAGAAGCAAAAAAAGATGTTGATCTTTGAGGGGTTTAGCTGACTGAGGACGTCCATACAGTTTAGCTAATCCAAAGACAACACTTGTCAGGATTTGACTTCGTCTTTGGGAAGGGGAAAAAACGGACACCCCGATCCAACCTCTCTGGGAAACGTTTAACCATATTTTAAATAAAACTACGACGGTAATAATAGCCTACCGAGAGCAAAAATTTGAGATGCTTGTGTTGAAAGTCAATGGAGTGCTCATCGCTGTGAAAAAGTTTAGGACCTCTGTGGGAGCTCGTTCTTGGCTGCGCTGTGATTGGTCAATCTACATTCTAGGGAGTGGCTTAGCCAAAGGTGAATTAGGTTGCAAGAGGCCACATAGTCTTAAAATAGCATAAATTAGAAAATGTCTGATTGTTTCCGTTTCCAATAGGAAAAAAGTCTCATACAAGAAAGAATGATGATGGTTCATTAAATATTAACAAATTAAAGAAAAACAAATTCGTGGCTTTCACCCAAACCTTACTATTGACTTTTCTGCAATGTCTTGTACACTCAGTTTCCAATCTCACTTCTCTCGTGGTATTGCTCTAGATCTGTAAATATGTCATTGGGGTTCTTACAGCTCAGGTTGCAGAAGCAGGCGTTAATCCACATGACCTGCCAGGTGAAGCCAGATCCATTAGGGCACTGAAAGTCGACCTCCACGGTCTTCGATTTGAAGGGGATGCAGCAGCGTTCATCCGTACACACGCCACAATATTTGGGCCAATATGTTTTTGTACTAGTGCAACCAGACATGGTGAAGTTGTGTGGCCTCTCCACCCTGTAGATGTTCAAGCACTTCTTTCCAGGCTTGTGGAGAGTGAAAAAAAAACATCCTTTTTACACTATAGTCATTCATATTGCTCTTAGTTGGAAATTTGATATTCATTATATTACAATAAATGTGATGTTTGTGCTCTTGCTGTACCTTTATGTGCTTTGTGATGTCCACTTTGCAAGGCCGGAGGTTGCAGAGCCTGCTCTCTTTGGCCATCCGACACTGCTTGTTGTTGTTGCTTATGCGTAAGGACACTCCACGGCCGCAGGTCTTTGAGCAGGGACTCCAGGAGGTTGTCTGGGTCACACAGTTCTTGTGCCAGCTGTCCTTTATACTAGACAGGGCTGTAATAATGCAGAGAAAACAATGAATGCATTCTTCATTTGTGAGATTGAAAAATTATTTTCGAATTATAAAGTTTTACAATTTTTATTTCCTTTCATTAAGCAAGGATGGATTAAACTGATCAAAAGTGGCCGTACATTTATGATCTTACAAAATATTTCTATTTGGTGTTATTTAGAAATTTCCATTCATAAAATAATCCTGAAAAAAGTGTATCGCACAGACTGTTCCCTGCTTTTAACATTAAGAACTGTTTCTTGAGCAGCAAATCAGCATATTAGAATGATTTCTGAAGGATCATGTGACACTGAAGACTGGAGTAATGATGCTGAAAATTGTGCTTTACCATCACAGGAATAAATTACATTATTTTAAAACTGTAATTTTGATCAAATATATGAATCCGATCTTACCGACCTCAAACTGTACACTGTAAAAAAATATTGTTGGTTTAACTTAAAAAAGTAAGTAACCTGGTTGCCTTAAAATTTTAAGTTGATTGAACTGGAAAAAGTGAGTTAATACAATGAAAGAGATTGATTTAATCATCAGAAACTCAAAATAATAAGTTATCTCAACTAAATAAATTATTTAAGTTGATTTGACAAAATAAAAAATGTTGTGATAACAAATCTTGAAAATATTTTTTACAGTGCAACAATAGCAGTTCCCTTGTAATATTCAGTTGGCAATATGTTGTAATTTAAATAAAAATGAAAATAAAAATCACTGAAATATACTATATATTTATATATATATATTTTTATATACACTATATATTTTTTTGGTAACTGATGCTAATCACAACACCACAAGTAAAAGAAGACAACATAAATCCCTTTATGTTATCTCTTAATTATGCAGATCAGAGATCAACTCTTATATGAGTTTTCATTCAATTGGAAGTACGGCAAACACCGGAGATCATACCGGCCATTGTGTGTCGTGGTGCTGTCTTGCGCCCCCTCCTGGACTCGTCACAGATCCACAGCTCACAGCAGCGGCCGGGGATTTGAACTCGGTGTGGGTTTTGGCACCAGACCCTGGGGGGCTGAGACTCATTACACAGCGACACACATCCAATCGCCCCGTTAACACACAGACACTGGTATTTGCAATTGGGCTGAAAGCTCTGGCCGTTGCGATAGATCACACCATTGTGCTCACAGCCAGTGCCTGGCAAATCTGGACAGCGAAAAAGAGCAAAATGATCCAAGGTGGATACAATACTAATGGAAACGTATACTAAAAGGTGGAGGGAATGTATTCTGCTCAGTGTCCACCTTAATCCAAGCTTTAAATCTTCATCGTAATCTAATCACAGTGTTAATAAGAAGGCTGTGTTAGTACAATGACACTTACACGCACATACTCCTTTTTCGTACCTAGGCTTGTCTGCGCTGTAATCACAGTAAAGGCCACGATGATGGTCACAGTTTTCTTTCTCGTTGCAAACCTCCCCCACCTGTTTGGCACATGCTTGGCAGCAATCGCAGCCATCCGTGATCAGGCTAACACCTTGAGGACAGGTGGGGGGAGTTTCAGGGCATTCGCAGGGCCATTGGCAGTACTGGGTGCGGTTATAGGGCTCCGGGGACACGGGCTCTGGTGTGGACAACATCTTAGAAGAATCCTGGGAAAATGCCCTGTGAATCTACAAGACAAGTCCCAACAGATTCCTGTTTCTGACACATTTAGGCTTTTGTTTCTCTTTTCCATGTTCCCTCCTGGCTACAGACATTGTGAGAAATGGGTCGGAATGAAATGTTTGTTTGTCCTCACTAACATGATTTAGTCTTAGGTGACACAGATAAACATCAGACATGTAAAAGATTTTAATTTAGCATCTAAATGCAATTTTTTCCTGCCATTTATAATTGGAATCTGTGTAGCTTCATTACTACAGGCCCAATACATGACACTACTATATCTCAGAGCAATGACCCAGTTCTAATTACACTTTCCTGCATGTATCAAATTATAATAGCAATAGACTTCTTGTCAGTTTATGGATCTCATTTTGTAGTAGCAAATTACTGCCATCAGGTCAAGAAACAAATAGAGCTAATGTGTGGGTAGAGAAAAATATTTATCATCTTATGGTAGCCACGAGCCAATGTCACTTTTTTTTTTGTAACCCATCAATTACGGTAGTCAAACTGGAGTTTTAAAGGACAGGTCATGATGATAAATTAATTTAATAGCAGGCACCTCTTGAAGTTGACTGCTTTAGGCCCTTATGTTTGATTAACATGACTGATTGATATGGCAACACACACAAAGTGAACCGAACTGTTGGTTTACAGCTGTGAGGCTCCTTAACCTTTGACCTCATAGCCTGTGTGAGTTTAGCAGCAGATAGTTGCCATCGTTAATATAATTAAAGCATACGAATGCCGTCAGTGTGGCAGTTCTAAGTATCTAAAACACAGAGGTTGGCTGTCATGTTCAAAGACAAAATGGAGCGAACTAAGCTTTAAAAATGTCAAATTACTCAAACAAATAAGAGTATTTCTCTGAATACTCGCTATGCATCTTGACAAACATGCTCGTTTCAGTCCACAAGGTGGCAGTATAGTCAGAGAATAATATATTAGGTCACACATGACAATGTCATGTGTTGTCATTGCATTCTTTAAATGTGTGAAACATTAGGTCATTTGTTAAGGATGCCTTTCACATATTTAAAGCGCATTTCAATTTTATTTATGTGGATTATTAATATTTTTTAATGTGAGGGGAAAAAGGAAAATAGGAGGATTAGAATTACTGATGCCAAAACTGTTACATAAGGTCTGATAATAAGGAAGGGGTCTCATTTTAAACTTATTAAAGAGTAGAATATATTTGAGAATAAATGTAAGCTGCTCTAATATATTTATTGCTTATAGCCTATTCCTTTTATTTTACACAGAAAAGTAAAATTATATAAAAAATTGAAATTCAGTTTAATCAGGTATATACACAGGTCAAATCAATTGTAATTTGCAGACAGAACCTTTCTGTTAACACAAATTCAAATATCATTATTGCATATTTTTTCCACCGCGTGTTTGTTTTGTCTCCAAATAACAAATGTCACCTGCAGTGATGAAATAATCCATCTCTGATGATGGCTAACACATATTACCTAATACTTGGCATGCATGAACTGCATGCGTTTATTTACTTTTAATGAGGGTTAAATAACCCTTAAATAAATAAGTATGTTTCTTACCTGTGGTACACAAGCGAGAAGAACCCACAACAGAAGCCAAGTCATCACTAATGCCGAGTGATAAATGCATTGAATCCAAAGTTAGATGGTGCTTAAAAAATTGCCCATACGCTAGCCGGATTCATTCATTTGGTCACCTGAGAGTATAGCGCGCACGCACACGTTGCTGCCTCGCTGCCGCTGTAAAAGTTTCATCCTCAAGACGTCAGAGCCGAAATGCTCACGTGTTTGGCCAAACCAGCTTGCAAATTCTGTAAACTCATCCAAAGTGTTTAATCGGATCTTAAAAACAAAACACCCTATGTACCTAAAATCTCACCCAATACTGTAAACATACAGAAAGCCTTGTCACCTTGTATTATTATTAAAGGTTAAAAATGCATATGATGCGGTTTTTATTATGATAACAGCATAATATTTGAATGATATAAATAAAATTATAATAAATATGTAATAATATAGTGCTCATAGTTAGCAAAATACTGCACTCTATAACTCATTTTTCTAGCCAACTAACATAAAGGGCTTTTTCTGAGGTAAATGTTTTATGACTTTTTCTCTGCGTGAGTTCTGGACGTGTGGCGTGCTGTGGCGTGAGAGCGTGTGAAAAGTGTCACGCTCAATGAGTGAGAGTTGGCACTTGGCAGCCCTGTGCGAAAGGCTGTGCTGTAGCTACCGTGAAAAAAAGTCTTATTAATAATACGTATTCATGATATACCACTAGCCTCAAGTAGCCTACCTCATTGCTTTTATAAAATGGTTACCACACAATATTAAGTCCATAAAATATCAATGCAAAGTTCATAAAGTAAATCACTAAATGCCTTCCTTCCGCTGGAAATAAATAACCGTGAACAGAAGTTACATAATTTCGCCATTAGATTGCGACGAAGACAGTCTTTATAAGTGAGTCAGTGCATCTCACAAATCTCCATCAACTGCAAGATGCTATCCTATCAATATGAGAAAAGAGGGACAAAAAAAGAGGGGTAAAAGAGGGACATGTTTCTGGGGAATACATTATAAAACATTAAGGTCTCAGTAGACTTGAGTTTATTGGCAATAAATTGCACTTTATTCCACCGAATGGCCAGATTGAAACAATAACCACATTGATGATGTCATTGTTCTATAGCTCAATAAATACCTTAAATTAACTAAATGGAATATATTTGTTGTTTTTTCTTTGTAGCTAAAACCCTAAAGTAAAAAAAAAAAAAAAATTTAAAAAGCTAAAGTTATTGTGTGATGCTTTATTCTTGTGAGAAGTCCCGGAAGGAAAGACTAATGAACACATGAGAACAAAGAGACTGTTATTTCTACCACAGAGCTACACAAAGGTCAATTGCTGGCAGTGAAGTGGGTTATTTTTAAAGGGTAGGCAGGTGAAGACATGCAACTCAAAGATCTAAGAGTAATTGTAGTTCTGCTACAAAAGGAAAGTGCATTTTGCCCCTTAATAGGATGAACTGGTATGGATGTAAAGTTAAACTCATTCTCAAATGACATCTGACATTTGCCTTTATCAGTGAGGAAGTAAAGACAGAAATGGTTTGTTACAGAAGTTAAATGAACACAACAGATAGTGATGTCCAACAAGATGTCCAATCTTATGTTTTTTAGTCAGGGAAAAAGAACAGCTTTTACTAAAAAAAAAACCTCTATGCATTATTTTTCTCTGATTGTTTTTTTATGAAATGTCCAGTCATGTCTATTTATTCTAGTGAAAGCTAATTTGTCATGCCAGCATGTGAACAATAACAATGTGTTCGAATTAAAAGCTCAGATTCCACTGAACAGTGGCTTTGATTCAAATGATTTGCCTTAATAAGAAAAGAATTAACATCACATCGGTCATTAAACTGATCTGTTTGAGTTTGATTAGTTTTAATCAGGTAGCAGACTCATTCATTCTTATATAAACACAAAACAATCATTTAAACTATGTACCAAAATTGATGTATGTTGAGCATCAAATTATAAATTTCTATTAAAGACTTTAAAACAACATGCCATACCTTCACCCCGTTTAAAGGCACTTAAAACATGTGGACCTGTAATAAGTTTAATTCAATTTGGGAAAGCAAGCATCTGCTTAAAAAAAATCCAAACAGCAAACATGAAAGTTTAATTGATTCTGAGTGTAAAATACACATTTATGAAAAAAATCCCAAAGGGAACTGTTGATGTGAACTTTACTTTTTGGCTTGCTCCGAATTGCCAGGCTCGGATGAGGCACAGAAACTAGGCTTGATGCCAAAACCAACAAAGCAGGGAGAAAGATGCGAGATGGCATGTTGAGAAAGAAGCCATGATGGCATATAACGTCTGCATCCAAAAGAGAGTGAGAGAAAAACTGTACTTTTTGTCCTGACATGTTAGATTCTCAATTCTGCATTTCATTAGATGCATAAAGGAAGGTGTTTTATTGAAGGTTCCATTAAACATTTTTAAATCACTCAAAAATACAGTAAAAAGAGTAATATTGTGAAATATTATTACAATTTAAAATAATTGTTTTCTATTTTAATGTATTTTAAAATGTCCTTTATTCCAGTGATGCAAAGCTCAATTTTCAGTATCATTACTCCATTCTTCAGTGTCACGTGATCCTTCAGAAATCATTCTAATATGCTGATTTGTATTGCTTTATACTTTTGGTTTCTTTTATTGTTTAGTATGTGAGAGAGCTGTTCTTGCTCTGTATGCTCCCCAGAGAGAGTGTCAACATAACCAAGTAATGAAGGTCTAGCTTTAGACACCTTAGAACTGAGAGGACTTGTTTTTGGTTGGCTTCACCAAATGAGTTGTCAAAGCAAGCATTTTAAAGCTGGGGTTCCATCATTCACTAGGACGTATCTTGAATTAAATTATAGGCTGTAAATAATCTTGTTTTGATCTTGATGACTGAAAAAAGTCTCTGTTCTCAATGTTCCCTACATTTGTACTGAGTCAAGTGTTCGGAATTCATGGAAAATAAATAAAGCTGTTTAAAAGCAGCACTGTCTGTGCTTACAGTAACTTCGCCCAAATGTTTGTTTTTACAAAAAAATCACCCCTTAATAACGGCGATAACTAATTTGTTTGTGGAAATAAATATTTGGACAGATTGTAGATATTCACATCCTTTTCCCTTTGGCCAGCACATTAGTGCTGAATCAGCTGATTTGCACAAAGATTAAAACAGTCTCTATTTCTATTCATTTATTTGTACATTACGCTCCACAAACTAAAAAAAAAAAACGCCAGGCTGTACATTATAAACAGCAACTCTTCAGTTTGTAGTCCTAAATTCAAAAGAATCAGCATTTGTAAGCCGTATGTTTTTTATTTATTTATTTATTTTTTTAGTAGAGTGGTTTACAAATTATGAGTAAAATAGGCCTTAATAGGATTACCTCATTTACAATTACAAAAAAAATGGGGACTAAAGCTTTCAAACTTGAGGGATACAAAAAACATGGTAAACAATCATAAAATATAAAGAGTCATATCACAGCTTTAAGTGTGGACCAGCTGAAATTACAGAAATTAATTATGTAACTTTTGGCCCTTTAGTGGTTAAAAAACAAAACTGCATACATTTTGCATAAGAACATTGTTTTGGCTTCGGTTCTGCATAACTGTGCGGATGAATATAACTCTTCACAATAGATAATGCATTTCAATCAATTAAGTAAGCTACTTATTAGAGGCAATTTAATTGTTCAATAAAACAGATATGACTGGACACATGGGCGAGTGACGTTTATACGCAATTTCCAGCGAATCCTGCCAGGTCTAAAATATAAACACTTATGAAAGGCTTATCAGAGAATCGGGGTAAGACAAAAAGGTTTTGGAAGGAGGATTGATGATGTATTGGCCCATTATTTATTATTATTTTGAACAAAAAAAGTTACATAGTGTACCTTTATTGTAAGTTTTACATTTATTTTGTGGAAAGTGTTCCACACTGTCTGGCTATATCTAAAAATGTAATCTCTGAGTCATGACTTTGTTACCATCTAGGCTGATATTGTTTTTTAAAGACAACCAAAAGTGCTGAGAGGGGTGAAATCTGGTCACTGCGACTACCAGAGATTTGTGTAATTCGTTGGATAATCTTTGTAATGCTTATGCAGCAACTTGTTTGCTTCTTGTTAGTTTCAAAATTCCCATGAGGTATATGACAGTTGACAATTATGTTTTCTCTTTAAGTAGCCTACAGTTTACCACAGACCTTTTGTATCATAGACCTCCTATTCTACTAAATCCATTAGAAATCCCTGAGGAGACCAAAGGTCAATTAATCTTCCTGGTTGGCCTACAAATTAACATCCTGACTGAACAGCTCCACATGCATGCACCTTTTAATTGTTAAATGACAATGTAAACATATATGGTAATGGATACATTATAACTATTTTTAATATATTGAAAAATGGCTGGAATGCAAGAACTGAGCTCAGTGCTTCCCTAGTCCGAGGAATGCACTCTGTCCCTCCATGTATGGTCAAATTCAGCCACATTTCCCTTTTTTTTTTTTTTTAGCACACAATACACTTCAGCCAAATGACAGAGCTTGCTTTGTTTTGGATCCTCGTTTTAGATCTGATCTGACAGCTGGCCTTTCTGGTTTTAATAGCCCTCAGAGTAATGCTTCTGTTTGGATATTTCCTCAGTCCAATTCCAGATGCATGTGAAATGTTTGGCCGGTTCCAGAGGACATGATTGCACAAGTGCGTTAGTGGTTTTCGCTCCCCCAAACTAAACAGGACAGCGATCAGCTCTTAAATACTGTTTAGTTGCTCATTCTGAAAAAAATCACCATCTGTTTATACAGAGATTAAGCGCTAAATTTCCACATAGCCCAAAATAATTGAGCACATGGGTAGTACACTAGTTTCCCTTCTGCCATGCGTTTGCTCACAGACACAGACTATATAATGATGTTATATAAGGATAATAATGTACAGTCATTATCACATAAATAATCCAGAGATTCCCGACAGAGTTGATTGTCATCAGTGTTGGGGATCATGTTTTTTTTCCCCTGATACTGATTGGACATTATCCCACTTAGGCTAACATATAAATAAATATTGTGGACATAATGTATATCAAATTTGAAAATATATATAAAAGTTAAAATTAAGTTATCATATGATATTAAGCTTCTGC